AAACACTTTCAGCCCTCCTCTTTTTTCTTGGTCTCTTGCTTCACCTTGAAGCTCCAAGCCATGTGGTTTTGTCTACCATTAAACCATCTTTCCAAACAGTCTCCATGTTTCCAGTGTCTTTTTCCCCACTTGGAACTGAACCCAGAAGGATAATTCTTCCAACATATGGAACTACCCGAGACAACAACTTGAAAGCAGCAAAGTTTTTGCAAACAAGGGTGACAGAAAGTGGACAAAAGTGAACAAAGCATTTATCAGTTTTTATCCTCTTATGCAAGTTCATTTCCCCTTCTCCTTTTTGACACAGCATCCTACTCAATTCTCCTAAAAGTCCCTTCCACCTTTGTTCAAAGAATTTTAACAAGTTCCCCATAACCTCAATAAAACTAGAATAAGCTTTATTGTTATTTTTGTACTTCCTCTGCTTGCAGTTTCCACTGGCATTCATGCTTGCTAGGCTTTCACAGACTTGATTCTTAGCTGTTAGCTGCTACATGCAGGTAATTGAAACCACTTACAAATTATTCCATTTGACATATCAAGCATTTACCTTTTTAGAAACAATAGAACTCCATTTTCCTATAAATGATATTTTTTTCTTTTAAATGATCATTTTCCTTATAGTTCTTTAAAAACTTGGAAGCTCCCTGTGGTTTTCCAATGGTGGTAACCCAAATAGCATTTCATAAGGAGAAATTCCCAAGTCCTTTTTTGGTTGGGTCCTCATTCTTAGAAGAGCCAAAGGCAAACATGGCAGTTGTATTTCTAGCATCAATTTGGTTAAGGTTCTTTCCAAGGGTGTAGTATTCCCATTTTATTCCCACTCCCTCCATTACTTCCTTCAGGATTCTAGAAATAAAGTGGCTACCTTGACCACTATTTTTTTACCATCCCATATATAGGAATAATTCACTCCAGTATTTTAGATACTGATGCAGTGGCTCTTGAAGTTAGAAATGCTTCCACCCACCCAGTTAAATGGTCTGAGTGAGGGGGCCCTTACCACTTTTTCTTTTTGTCAGAGGTTTTGTTTTACAGATTAAATATCTTTCCAGATTTGCTGTGCCACTGTATAGATCCCGATACATCCATATTTTTGCAGCAAAGTATCACATAATGCTTGTGTTCCCCAATGACTTCCTTGATATAAGATGGCCAGTAATTCTCTAAGTGATTTGTTTGTTGAATTACCTCTTCCTACATAAGTAGTTAATTTTGGTGCCCTTCTACTTGGACCATGGCTATCGTTTCAGGTAATAACAATTTCCCAAGAGTTTCTACAATAAGTTATGTTGGAAGAATTATCCTTCTGGGTTCAGTTCCAAGTGGGGAAGAAAGACACTGGAAACACAGTGACTGCTTCAAAAGATGGTTTAATAGTGGATTAGAACTCCAAAGTGAAAAGGGATGACCACATGCTTCAAGATGAAGAAAGAAGGGCTGATATGCTGAGTGTGCCTGGGTTTTATACCCTCTGTTGAGATTTGAATTTGAGCTTGTATTCTGATTGGTTGTCAGACTCCCAGGGGCAACTCTGTAGCTGTCCTGAGTCCCAGGCTTGGTTGAGCCTTGCTGGATGATGATGTAATGAAAGGGCTTTTGGCAATTCCTATAGCTCTACCTGGAGATCTTTGTTGTGTAAAATAGGCTGGCCTAAATCAGAGTAATGGCCCATTGGCAAAGGTGGGGAGGCTGACTTTCTGCTTCTGAGGTGAGTTTCTGAGTTTCTACTCTTTTTCGAGGAAATATTGTGCCTTTTTAATATTTCCTAGGATATTTCATTTTTCTAGGAGCGGGGTGGGTGATAACTTCCTACAGTTCACTATATAAAAAAATGAACTAATCACTGTAACAATTCTTAAAAGGGCAGCAACTTGGGCTGCTAAAAAAAAAACACCATAAAATGAAGCATCTTGCCTCCTAAATATTCCATTTCCCTATAAATAATCATTATCCTTTTAAAATGTTCATTTTCCTTATATATAATATATCCTATTCTAATTCCATTCCTATTCTAATACCGTTCCTTCCCTATCCCTATCCCATTCCCATCCCATCCCTATTTGTGTTCTATTGCTGTTCCATTCCTATTGTAATTGAAGACGGTGAAATGACTCGGCCTCACTCTAAAATCTATTGTGACAACACCCACTTCCCTCTTGACGTGGAGGGTTCTCTCTTCGTGATTCATCTCTATCTCAGACTTCGCACCGCCCCCTTTTCCCGGCGTTCAATGCGAACAGCTGGTGAGGGAGGGGGAGAGAGAGGGGGGCGGAGTTTGAGGCCAGAGGCCCGGTCGTAACCAGGACCGTTACCTCATCTCGGGGCTCGCTGAGATTTTAATGCTCTGTCGGGTTGCTCCAGAAACCGGGGATTGGGCCCCAATTCCCCGTCAGGTGCCATTCTGAAGAGAAAACTTCCGGGGAGGAATCTGACGAAATGACGACGCGCCGCATGATCCGCCAACAGTACCGAGAACTAATTTCTACCGTTCAGCGTAAGTTCCTCCCCCACCCAATTAGGAGAAAATGGCGCGAACTAATCCCGGTTGATCCAGGAAACCGGCTTGGTCGGCCTTAGATTGGTTGCTGACGCCCAACTCTGTCTGCATGGCGGGGCTGACGTGTGGGGATATAAAGAGTGAAACGAATGGCGCTCCAGGTCGTCGTTAAGACCGAGGGCTCCTTGGTGCTTCTCTGAGCTTCCTTGTTTTCTTGCAAAGGTTTCTTTACCCAAACTAGGTAACACCATCTTTGTTAGACAAGGATGCAATACGTAGACATCTGCTCTTCTCTTGTTTGGGGATCCTTTTTCCTATCTTTGGGAAACAGGGATGGGGTGCATTCCAGTCTTCATCTTTTCTGCCCGCACTTTGCTGTGGTTTGGAGGTGGTGGAGCTTGAGCGCTCATGCCTTTTGAGATTTCTTTCCCAATAGTCTAAATGAATGGTCTAAATGCCTCAATTTGGGGGGGGGGGGGGGTTGTCGCAATCTTTATATATATATGTGTGTGTGTGTGTGTGTGTGTTAAATCTAAATCTAAATCTTAATTGGAATATTTGGGCATCTACTTACTTCAAGAAGTGGAACTCTTAACTTACAACTTGGTGCATATACTGGTTTTAAAGGGGTGGCCTTTGTGGTTTAGGTATCTCAACAATTAAATATGAGGTCCCCCCCCCCTTTTCCCCCTAGAGAACCATGAGCTGATGCTGAGTACCAATAATGATAAACTGACAGAAGCTCTAGAAGATGCTGATAAACTGTTCTCTGGAGGTAAGAAGAGAATTATCCCAAATAGTTATCAATTCTTCAGTGGTTGATTTCAGTGCTTAATTTCTTTCCAGAAAAAAAGAAATCTAGCTTCAAATAAAAAGGAAAGAATATGTATCATGTTGCCATTTTTATTTAATCCATTCAACTTATTCTAGTGAGGAAAATATAAATCATTTTGTTTACTAATAGTAGCTAATTGTATTCTTCAGAAAGAATGAAGAAAAGTAATTTTCTATAGGTCTGAAGGAACTAGAAGAGGCCAGCAGAGAGGAAAATTACTTTATTTCCCTAAAATTATTTCCCTGTAATTAAAAGCAATTAAAATAATCTCATCTGTTTTCTAGTGATTTTTTTTATAACTATATGCTACTTTCTCTTTGGTTGAAAAAGGTGTCAGTGTCGTTTTAATGTTTCATGTTTGGTGAGGAGTACCTTACATCAAGTGATACAATATGAATATAAAGTGATAAAGTATGAAACTCAGCAGGAAGAATAGTTCTTATTGTTTTAAGTATTAACAGAAACCCATAGCATGCTTTTTAAAAGACAATGTAATAATGAACACAGAATAAACAAGCAATATGCTAAGTGATATAAATGAAAAAAATGTTACAAGGTAATATCAACAAAGAAATAATCTTTGTTGCCTTTTCAGTTACAAATAGCTATCTAGTTCTGATTGTTAGTGGGTTTTGTTTGGTCCCTTTTTTAATGATGTACTGCTCTTTGGAGACAACCCTTGATTGGTAAACCTCAAAGTTTAAGCTTCAAGGGAAAACTTATTACTTTCCAGAATATGTGAGGGTAAAGGAATTTAATCTTATTTCTTGCTGAAATTCAGTACTGAGAAGCAGCCTGATTAGTGTTTGGAGATAAATTGTCAGAGATGCAAATCTGTAATTTTTCAGAGGCTGTTTAGGTTCTATGGTTCTATCTCTAACATTTATTTCGTTTGGAGAAAAATGGCAGCATCTAGTACACCTATATGATGTTGTTTTTAGCCATTTAGCAACTGTGTTGCTAATAAAATATAAACACAATTGTGAAATATAATTGTCATTCTTGACACTGTTCTTCATTGATTTACATTGTTATATTGAAAGGTTTAAAAATTGAATTTCTGAAGTTTAGAATTTTTTTTAAAAAATAGAGAGCTTGGTGTTTGTGAATCTGAGGTCTGATTCTAAACTTATCCAAGATTTTTTAAAAAAAATCTTGTAGAGAGTCAATGCCGCGTTGTCATTGCCATAGTGTTTAATGTTTTTATATTGTTAAGCTGTTAACATTAAAATACTCACCAACAAAAATATGCAACTATTGCATATTTTTCCATACTAAAACAGTATTTTTTTACGGATTACAATCTGTATATCTGTATATAGGTACGCTTCAATTTACAACCATTCATTCACTGAGTATTCTAAGGTAGAAAAATATGCCTATTTTTTACACTTATAACTGTTGTAGCACCTGATCAAAATTTGGATGTTTGGCAACTGGCATGTGTTTATGATAGTTGCAGTATCCTGGGATCATGTGATCATCTTTTGTCATAATATGAAGAGCAAAGTCAATGGTTAATCTTGAGAAGCAAAGATTCACTTAATTGTGTTATTAGCAGTGACAGTGATTCACTTAATAGCTCTGGCAAGAAAGGTCAAAATGGAGCAAAACTTAACTGTCTTGCTTAGCAACTGAAATTTTGAGTCCAATTGTGGTCCTACATTGAGGACTACCTATATTGCCAATTATAGGTATATCCTATGCTTTTGGCAGATCATACAGCAAATAATTGAAATGCATATCTTGCTTAGAATTCTCTCACAAAAATGCATTTTCTCCTAGCCCATCACATTGAATTGTTAACTTACTGTTATTTTCTTAACCTGCTATTCTTAGAAACAACAAGCACTCATCAGAAACTGAATATTAATGAAAATTACGATCTTGCCTTCAATTCCCTTTGAATCTAGCAAAATATTTTTCTTCTTTCAAAACAGTGTCCTGGGCAAGGGAGGCCGCTTTGGATGCCCAGTTCCTAGTTTTGGCATCAAATCTAGGAAAAGAAAAAGCAAGCCAGTTACATTCAGATATGACAGTATTTGATCCATCTGCATTTGCTGAAGATTTAGTAAGTTTACAGCGATCAACTCTGTAGTAATATAAGGCTTTTCTGTTTTATTAAATAGAACTTGATTATATATATAAAATGATCCCATCCACATTTTAATATAATAACTCATCATGTATTTGTTGTTTAAATAGGAAACAAAGTATTTTTTTTTTGGCAAAGCTAATAGCATTATTTAAAAGTATACTTAAATCAGTCATATAAGCTGAAATATAAGTTTTAGAGTCTGAAAGCAAACAAAAGTATGCAGTACATTTGAGGTCCTTCAGTTCATGGGAACCAGACTGTTAGCTTGCTGTTGCATTAATCACATATTTTAATAGATGTTAAAACCCGATAGCTTATTTAAATGTAGGCTGTAACTTGTGGGGTAATCATACTTTATAAACTCTTCCCTGCTTTTCTCACACTAAAAGAGTGAATTCTTACAGTATTGAAAATTAAACTATTCAGTATGAAAATGTGATCTAAATTTTTTTTTTTATCCTGTAGAATTATTTTGCTGTGCCGGGTAGTTAGAATTGTAAGCCATGTGTCAAAGTTCATTTTTGCTTCCATCACCAGTCATGAACCAAAGAAAATTAAAAATTATTGCTCAGGTTGTGTTAGGTTTTCATTTTTTAAATCTGGCATCACAGGCCAGACTCGCTGGTAGTCTGGATTTGGAAAAAAAAAACGTATTTGTCTGCTTGTCTTGTCTGAAATCACATATTATAGTAACTAAGGCAATTCAAATAGTTCTTTGTACCACTTCAAAGAGAGAATTGGGTGTCTCCTCAATTTCAGTTATGTAAATAGTTCTGCATTTTTGGAGATGGTGGTGAGGGGGGAATGGTTTGTGCGAAGAGCTAACATACACTGCATATTTGAAATGGAACTTCCTGTTTAAAAAAACAAGATAAATTGATTAAGATGATAAAATTTCAGATCAAAGTTGCAATACACTGTATTTTGAATTATTTACAATGCATTTAGTATATTCAGTATAGATTTAGACATAAATGTAACTCCATAAGTATAATATTACAAATACCTTCAAAATGTTGTACACCTTAACATCATATTTCTTCTTGAATTAAATTCTAATTTCATATTGTTGTGCGTTTTGCATAAACGTGCAAATTAATATTATATTTTTTCTACAGTTATCACTTATGGGTCTAAATCGTTTGGAATTAGAAGAAAGTGATAGTGAAGAAGAACAGGTTGCTAGTGGATTCTTACCTAATAATGCTTGGCATAAGCTTGGTGAAGAAGCAAAAAAATACTTTAGGAGGGCACCAGTTTTCCATTTCATGTGAGTTTATTTTTGGTGTACATCATTCAGTCTGGGATGATAACTTTCACAGGAATTATGCTATAGATTTCTTGTTGCTTGGAACTTGAGTAGCACAATTAAAAATTTTCTACTGTTATCTTTGAGCTTTGTTCTCAGCACTTCTTGCACTTTGGAAAGCCTCACATATTTTCTGGAAGTTTTCTGGAATGTCTGAACATGTTGAAGTGAATAAGATACATAGCTTTTATGTTTTTATCTGATTGGATTTATAAGATTTCACAGATAAAGAAACCAAAGATCTTTTATTATGTAGTTTCTATGTCAAATGGGTTTCTATATCAAATGGGTTTGAGGCAAGGAGGTTTCTTGATATAAAATGCTGTTGACCCTAATTTATTCCATAATTGGAACAAGATATTCTTTCCAACAGTGCTTTAAGGGTATTCTATAAATGTTTCCTTTTGTTGCTCTTATGTAATAACATTTTAAAATTTGAAATAAGAGCAAGAAATAAGTATAGTTGAGAGCAACCAGACTAGGATTTTGCATTCATATGCATTATTCTGACATGATTTTTAACATCAAAATTTTATTAGGTCTGAAGTCATGAAACTGAAAGAAATTCTAATCTCTCAGCAGCTCAAACACCAGTTGTTGTTTTTGAAGCTTATGTTGCTACATCTTTCTAGTTTGTTAGCCATATTTGCAAAATAGAATTACAGTGTTATGTCTTCAGATTATTTCGAATGCTACCTAAGGAATTTACAATGTTTTCATTGACTTAGGTTAGGCACTTTTACTCCTGATCCTCCTGCTGAAAGGCCACGAATTGAAAGGCAACGAAAGAAGGCAACTTCAGATGGAAACAGAGCAATGCCTGCACAAGTGAGTTACATGTGAGAAGTAAAGTCTAACATTACTTGGGAATGAGAAACTTCCAACGAAGATTCATAGCACAGTAACAGACGAGGACACATAAATAGATTTTTTGTCATAACAGCTTTATGATGAACAATGATTTTCTTGCAGACATTTGGTTCTGACTTATTGTACTGGAGGAGGTGTAATATTTTCCCAATAATCTTCTAATATACATACATGGAAAAAAATTGTCCTTTGAAGCAGATATTCTTTATTGTAATTTGTAAATGGTGCATAAAACTTTAAACTCAACTTTAAAAGTATAGTCTTCATATCAGTAGAATTATTTGAGGTCAACTCTATTTTTGCACACTCTCCTATCTGTTAGATAGGAGAATGTTTGCATACATCCCATATCTATTAGGAAACAAAGAAAATGTTCACACCATCTTGTATGTTTACTCTCTTTAAAAATACATTTCATTTATCCCAGAAATCAACTTTACATTGATTGAAATGTTGCTGGTTATGAGGTACCATAATAAAGTATGCTTTAAGGAAAACAACATTTAAAAAGAAATTCATCTAAAAATATCATAATGGAACAGGAAGACTGCTGTAACATTGTGATAAAATATAGCTATGTTGATAATAGCTTGTTAAATTCCTTTGTTAGTTAAAAAAAATGGAAGAATCTCATCTAGAAGCTACTGAAAAGGAAGTAGAAAGGATTTTGGGATTCTTACAAGCCTATTATGGAGAAGAGCGTAAGTTAATGAAATTCAGCATTCACACAGTTGCCTCTCTTTCCTTTAAGTATTGTTATGGTGGCTAGGATAGGAAGAGTATAAGATCGAGGATGCTATGTCAAAACAAAAACGTTTGAGTAGAAAAGATCAGTTGAAGTTATGAAGAGGTTGTATGCTTCAAATATTTAGCTATTTTTTTCTGCAATTAGCTTAATTTTTATGGTGATATTTGTACTGAAAATGCTCAGTTACATTAATTTGGCTCCATATGTACATATTTATCAATTTGATTTTTGTGATAATACTTTGGTATAGGAAGAATAATTCATACAGCATATATCTAAGATTTGTTAAGAAAATTCTGTTTACGTTTCTCATTCTGCTGCAGACCATGATTAGATCTGCCTTTAAATAAATAAATGAAAAATATTAAATGTGGGCTTAGGAATTTTTTTTCCATTCATAGATAAATGATAGTTAAATAATGTTGAACACAGAAGTAAACTAGAAATAGGCTGAATAGTTAAATGAATGTATCAGTATCAAAAGTATGTTGTTTTTACATTATAGCTGCTACACCAATATCCTTCCTGGAGTTTGTGACAGACCCAAATTCTTTTTCACGAACTGTGGAAAATATGTTTCATGTCTCATTCTTAATAAGGGTAAGGAAAAGCAATTTTCTCCCTTAATTATAAAAAGCAAAATGTATTGTTCCACAAATATAAGCACAAGATTTGAACGATCCATGTTGGAAGGCTGCTAATTCTCCTTTCATTTCTTATGTAATAGAAATCATTTGATATGTGTTTATAATTTACTAACCTCCCTTTTATAAACCGGATTTTCCCCCTTTTTACAGTGGTAATAAATTGATTTTGAAACAAGCTTTATAATTATAAAGATATGGGTTTAGACCAAGAGTCTTCAAACTTGGCAAGTTTAAGACTTGTGAACTTCAACTCCCAGAATTCCTGAGCTAACACGGATGGAGGAGGAATTCTGGGAGTTGAAGTCCACAAGTCTTAAAGTTGTCAAGTTTGAAGACCCCTGATTTAGACACTTGAAATATGGATCATGCTTTGTTTTTGTTAAAAAATCTGATTGAATTTTTTCTTAATGGAAATAGGTCTTAAGGGTTTAAGATGTAGGTTTTAAGTCCTACATCTATCTACTGTTTAAAAGATTAAAACTGAAAACTAATTCTTGAATGACTGGGTTTGCTTTTTGTACTAAACCATAACTGAATCATGGTTTATTTCATATAACTGGCTGTAATCATGCAATTCACTTAATTAAAGTCAAATAATATGTGGTTAAATTTGTTTACCATTATTATCACTGTTGAATTAAGCCCAGTAAATGTATTTAAGATTTCATAACCTGTTTCTGATAGGTTTGCTATCTTGGGGTAAATTGAACTTTTTTTTCCCTTAGGATGGACTTGCAAGAATAAAACTGGATCAAGATAAACTTCCTATAATAGGTAATGTTGCAATATTTCTAATACTCTGAATTGTTTTAAACAAATGTCTTTATGTCTCTTAATTTGACATATACTTTATATTGTTTTAAAATGGCATTTTTATTTCTTTAAATATAAACATGTGTCCTAATAATACAATATTTCGCTAGAACCTTTACGTCCAGAACAAGGAGAAAATTATGATGATTCTCAAGCACGGAAGCAAGCTGTCATATCAATGAGCTATCAAGAATGGATGGTATAATTAAATATTTTATTTTCTGAAGTTATTTTAAATATCCCTGAACTGCGTTTCTGTGCCTAAAATTCTATAAATATGATTAGCATATCTATATTATTTAGAACTTAAAAAAATGGAAAGGCAAGTTGCTGGTTCAGTAGTTTGGAAGGGGGAAAATATATATTCAATGTGTGTGTCACAGTTAAGACTGTTGATCAAAGTAGCAATGTATTTCATTCATGTATTTTCTACAATCTCCGATCTTAAAAAAAAATGGCAGCACAGTGTTTACATTGTAAAAGTATGATAAAAATAAATGCTAGTCAGGAGTTCTCTTAACTTGTAATATACATAACTTTGCATTTAACAGCTTAATATTTTAACTAATGGTGGTTGAAAAGGTAAATACGTTAATTAATGCACATTTTATCTATAATACTATGAATTAAAAGACAATACATTTTTATTTTCACGTAGAATATTGTGGAGATATTTGAAATTTCACAGGCAATGATTCCACCTGTTTCACAGTCACAGACATGAGATGAAGCTGATCTGAATATAAGGTAATATTTTTGTTTAATTTCTTTGATATCATTTTTGTTGTTATTCAAGCACAATAAATGTTATTTTTAGCTGACTTGAATTCTATTTGTCTTTTGCAGATTTCAGTCTCATTCTTTTACACAGGTATCTATAGTTCTGTAAGAACCAGCCTTGGATGGAATTGAGCTAAACTTTCCTATTTAAGTATTACATATTTGCTTGAATAAGGGGAGCGCATCCAGGTTTTCTAAATAACAGTGTTGTATTATACAACATACTGTACATTGTTTATTTGCTGTAACAGCAAATTAGTCTCGTTGTAGCTTCTATATTCTGAATGTGCTTTGTCTTATTACACATTCATTTGGTCAACATTATGTTATTTCAATTTGTATTTCACTTTTCCATAAAGCAAAAAGTTAGTTAACAATAGAAACAAAACATGTTACATCTCAATAACAGAAGACTTTTGATCAGTGTTCAGAGGTAGAAAGAGTTCCCAAAGGAGTTTGCTCTGTATTTTTGGAGTGACACAGAACATGTCTTCTTTTATGTACCTGAAAAAGACTGTTTTAAGGGTCCTTTTCTATTAATCTTTAATGTCCAAGGAGATTAATATTGAGAGACATAGATAGTTGCACCTGAAACCATTTAAATATTAAAGGACTAGAATGCTACTCTTCCAGTTGTGTTGCAGCAGCATGTGTTAATCATCTTAGTTTAGGAGAATATGCACTTTTTTAGCTCTTATTTATAGTTCCATAGATTTTGAACTTCATTATTTGTGAATGATGGTGTAGAGAAGAAAAATGGGAAGTGGAAATGCAAGGCCTAGAAGAAAGGCTGAGAAGAAAAGTGCATCTGTCTCTCTACATCACAGAATGTACTTACCTTGTTGAAATATTTGTTTTCTTCCATCATAACAACTAGGTGCAATTCTGCATTTGACATAAGTGTTCAAATGTTTATGGTGAAAAAAAGAATAAAGTGGAATGTCTTTGAGAAATTGCTTATACAAGAACAAAGTAGCTTGTTGCTGTCACTCCACATTATTGAAACTTTGGCAGAAGCAACAATGTAGAATCAAACACTTTGATACACTTTTGCAATGGGTTGTATGTTTAAAAATTTATAATAATTAATAATTTTAAATATTTCTGTAGTTATTTTTGAGTTGTTCAAGCTTGTTAAACTTTACAGAATAATGAATATAAATATTAAATACAGATGATAACATGTAAACTTTGGCTTTGAAAATACTATTTTTTGGTCTAAAGGTCGGGAAGCCGCCCTGCGCCTTATAAATTACTGTTTTACAAGTATTTTGGAAAGCTGCACGAGATAACAAAGTGTAGTGGTATCATAGCTGATACAAAAAATAGGTGAAGCTGGATTAGTTGTTAACTTACAAAATTCAATGGAGTTCTTCTATTTCTAGCATTTATTATTCCATCACTAGATTTCTAATATGCATATGGCCATCATAGAAATCATAATATAAATGCATCAAGAGAGATGCAGATGAGCAGATTTTAGACAATTGTAGGCTGACTGCATTAATAAATGCAGTCTTGTCAAACTAATTTTAGGGTCTAGTTTTAGTTTGCAAATCTTGCTAGCAAAGTCCCGTGAATTGTTGATGAGACAATTGATGTTGTTGATTAGAGGAGCTGATTAGGTGGCTGGATGTTTTGCAGCATTGTAGGTGACAAGAGTTGATGCTGCTGATAATCCTTCCATTCCCCACCATCCAGTCAGAGCTGAAGAAGCTTCTTGAATGAGAAGCAAAACATTTTCAAAGAAAAACAAAGAGTCCAGTTGCCTCTTGAAAAAGCACCTTTGGGTCATAAATTACTATTTTTTTAATGAATACAGATTATCCTCGACTTACTACTGATTGAGCAAGGAATTACAGTCGTAAGTTGTACCGGGCACTAAGTGGATCATCACATGATCATGCCTGATTTTACATTTTTTTTTTTGCATGGTCTTTAAGCGAATGGGTGTTATTTTGCCTGAAACTGGAAGTAAACACCAGTTAACAGCAAAAAAAAAATGTAGACTGGTCATGACTGGGATGCTGCAAACAGCTGTAAATGCAGGCCAGTTGCCGTGCACCCATAATGACCTGGGGGTGGGACAGTCAGAAATTTGAATCAGATTGTAAATACCTTTGGGAGGGGGGCTTGTAGTCGAGGACTGTCATGTGCCAGTCTTTAGTATAGCTGTTACAATATCAATAACTGTCATCTCCGTCTTTAGTATAGCTGTTACAATATGACGATGACAGCAAATAATATTTCATATTATAAATGTTGTAAATGTTGTGATGTTCTTCCATCGTGTTCAAAGAGGACCTTGACATCTAATGGGTGTATCCGCATGGTGTATCCGCAGGTGGCTGGTAAGGCCTATATGGGTATGGAATGTTCTACCACATGTCATTTTGTGTGCTGACCAGAGTTTTCTTTCATAACTGGTTCAGCCAGTACTACCATTTGCACCACTTATGCTGGCACAGCTAAGTTGTTTTGTGAAAGGAGGGCTTGATCAGTAGTTAGATGTGGCATAGCACATACCTGCCCATAGCTCTTATCTGCTGGTCTAAAGGCTTCAGGGATCCCCAATCCCCAGGTCACTCATACAAGTAGAGTTGTGTGTTCTTGCATGCATATGCCTGCCACTCTCACTGAACCACCTGCCCCAGACGCTGGGCCACCAAGCCAGAAAGATTGGGGATTGCTGGTCTATTGTACATTTCCACAGCATCTCCCCTTGTGTGGCCAGGTTGGTGAACCCAATGGAAGGGGGGAGGCAAAGAGAACAAAGGTCAACTGTGGGAGAGAAGTTGTAAACGTGGGCAGGACTGAATTTTCTTCACATGACCCTGGGCAATTGCAAAGGCCAGAAGCTAGAGGACTTCTCATAAGGCCTTTTGTTCAGCACCATCAGAACAGAATATGTGCTGAATGAAAGGTTGTTAAACAAGGACTACCTGTATTTCTCATTCTCTTTTGTGTCTATATAAATCCATAACATTGCATACTATGACAAAATGAGAACAGTACTGATCTTAACATATCCAGCTTCTGCAGCATATCTCAGAATTAGATGTGCTGTCACTATTTTTGTGCTTAATAAAAATTAACAACAGATAGGAGTTTTGGGTATCAGGTTCAAATTATATGAATGCTAATACATTCAGAAAAGAAAAGATGCAAAGAATCAGCTCACCATGCACATATAACATAAATATATATAGCAAGAAAATAATATGGGAAATCATTTGGAAAAATGTGCAACTCCCAGGCGCCAGACACAAACATGCAAGGTTTTTTTAGTTTCACTGTTTTTATATGAACAGATCTGCCCTGAAAGGATGGGGGTGGGGGTGGGGGGAGTTTAGTGGAAACCAATCAGGCAGTGCCATTTATTATGAGTTATTGCTGCTAATACTGAAATGGATAATATTTTTAAATTTAAAACAGCAGCACCACATATCCCGTCAAAGATAATTCGTTGCTCTGAAAAGATCTTAAGAAATATATTTAGTGCTGGATAAATTTCCAAAACAGAAAAAAAGGCACTTGTTAATGAGACAATGAGTCTTTGACTGTAACCTGAAGCAGGATGAAGGTTGTGCGGAATGAAGTATGTTTACTTCCATGGATCTGTTGAAAATGCAGAAGAATCTACCCTACATAGAATGTGCAACCTGAGGACACAATTAGGCAGCTTGTGGCAATGACTTTATTTCCTGGTAATGAAAGCTCCACATTGGATCTATATATGAGGGCGCAAAAAAGAACTCCCAAATGGCCATTGTTGGTACCCACCTATATAACAATCAGCAGTGACTAGTGGAGTATGTACCAAGGAATAGCAATTGTCTCTTGGTTAGTTAATGTAGCCCAAAAGGATGGCAAAAGCTACATTAATTGCCTATCTGCTAGCTGAATTCCTCCACTTCATTAAAAAAAAGCCACCCCAATCCCCAATAAGATGATCCTTATCAATAAAAAGGGAGTTTAGAGATGTTCTACCAATGTAAGAGCTGAGTAGGTAATTTAACACTACAAAAGCCAACACATTGCTGCAATATGCACTTTTTATTGCTATAAAATTAGACTTTTACTATCAGGACCAAGGGTGCTTTCCTGAAGTGACTGGCAGGTGTTTTCAGATATTCACTTTTAATCTCTGCTTTTTTGTGTGACCTTGGAAACACAAGGAATGGCATCCCTTCAGAGTATCCTTGGTACCTGAAAGAAAATTCATCAAGTTCTTCCTGGTCTTCAGCAGTAGAACAGTAACATTACTGTTCATTATATTTATTTGTCTGAAGATAAAGTTAACGTACTATAACCAACATGTTACTTTCTGCATTTTATGAACAGAGGGATTGTTGTTTTCAAAACACTACTAGGAAGAGATAGAAAAAACCATTGATTCCTGAACTTCTAATATATATAATTAAAAGTGTGTATGTATATATGTGGATATACATTTAATCTATTTCCTATATCGTCACATTAAAAAGAAACCTTGCACTTGTTCTGCCTGTCAGAATGTTTTTGAAACCAAAGCCCAGTAAGGTAGCTGTATCAACCTGATGCAGATTAACACTTTTATTACAGCTTCATCTTGGGCGACAAACATATTTAATAAATAAATCAAAAAGAAATCAAATCTGTCTAGTTGTCCTCTGGAGACTGTGACACCAAAGCACTGGGATAAAAGTAACCTTTGATGAGGTTTCCCCCTTTTCTGGCTTCAAATAGACCTATTAGGCCCCGCAAATGGAAGCTCCGTCCTCTGCCTTTAGAAACCGGAAGATGCGCTCGCAAGCGGAGGCCCTCCGTCGCTCAACCAAGCCGCTTTCTGCCCTGGGTTAAAATGGCGGTCATGGCCGCCGCCGCTGCTTAGGGCGTTCGAGAGATTCCCTCGGCTGGACGGCGGACACGGGATTTTCGGAAGGCGGAGGCAGCCGGCCGGGCAGCAAGATGGCGACGATGGGAAGCGGTTCCTTGAGCATCGTGGAATACTTGGGGGGAGACGGCGGCTACCGCTGCGGCTATTGCAAGAACGACACCGGCAACTTCTCTCACGGTACGAGTCACACGCGGGAACAGAACAGAAGCCAGCGCCGGAGGGGTGAGGAAAGCCGAGTCTTTCCATCATTTTCCTCAATGGCTAGTCTCTCGGTCGCCGTGTGAGGCAGGCATATGCCTTTTTTTTAAACGGTAGGCCGCGCTTAGGATGAAGGCGAGGAGTTGGAGCAGGGCAACTTCGGGCCATGTTGTGCTTCAGCCGAGGGCAGGCGGCGCTCGGTGCCTCTCATTGCCGGCTTCCAAGCGCCTCTCGAAGTTACCCTTTAAAAACACTTAACGGAGCGATGTCACAACATGCAAAAGTAGCCGGACCGGACCCTGTCTGGCCCATCTCTAGTTCGAGCCCTCCTCTGCCGTTTAAATGACCAGAGTGGGAATTAAAAACAGAAAGAGTAAACTGAAACACCTGTTCGCTTTTGACAAGTACCATGGAGTCCGTTTTCAGAGTGCCCTTTACAAGTTCCCGGTATTTCTCTGTCTTAATGTTTTGCTCTTTTTCTCCCAATATAGCCCCTTTCTTAGCTACCAAAGGACAGTTAGTCCTTGACTTACAACCACAATTGAGGTCTCACACTTTCCATTAGTTAAGTGAGACATTTAAGTGAGTTTTGCCCTGTTTTACGACCTTCCTTGACTTCATTGTTAAGTGAATAATTGCAGTTAAGTTACTAACATGATTGTAACGTGAATTTGGCTTCATTGACTTTGCTTGTCAAAAGGTCACAAAAGGTGACTACATGACCCCGGGCCACTGCGATGTCATAAATACGAATCATTTGCCAAACTGATTGAATTTTGATCATGGGGATGGTGCAACGGTCATAAACATGAAGAATGGTCATAAGTTACGTTTTGCAGTGGCCATTGTAAGTTTGAATGGTCACTAAATGAACTGCTGTAAGTGGAGGACAACCTGTACTCAGAAAGTCTAGAAGCATGTTTTATTAAAACCTATCAGCCTTTGTGAGTCCCAACACATTTTCTCAGGATCTAGAATGGGTTGGGCGTATGTGTTAAATATTTGTTATTATTAGACTGTGTACACACAACAAAGAGCTGGGCAAGAAATCAGTGCAAATGAATAGAAATGAATAGAAATGAATAGAAATGTATAGCATTCCCACCATACATGGAACTATAAACTAGCCAATCACTATATGCACTAAATCAAATTGCATTTGTTGTACTTTATGCTTCATTGTTTTGTGCAACTCTCAATTATTAAAGAGAATAACAGATTTTAAAGAAAAGAAATAGAGATTTGTTGTATGGAGACCAGATAACAGGAGAATAGATAATAGCAAATAAATTGATGACATTTAATGTACTTGTTTTAAATTAAATTTAAAGGAGTTAAAGGAAGTCTTGTGGGAAATGAAGTAGATGGGGACTGAGCTGTATTTTATTGTGGCAATCCACTGATAGAGTCTTCTATCACAAAAGTCCTCTTCATATATAAGAGCATTAACCCAGATTTTGTTCATGCTGATGGCAAATTCTGGGTGTTCTAACCGTCACATCTGGAAAGTGCCCTACTTCAGGAAGGCTGTTTTGAGGAGTGTATTTTTACAGCTTACTAATCTATGGCTTATTTAATAGACCAATTGCCTGGATCATCTAACATACTGAACTATAAGTTCACTGGCTGAAATCATAAAACATATTTATCTGAAGCCAGACATAATAAAAAGTAATGTAATGAATGAAAATAAGTACAGGATGTTGAGGAAGCCCTATATGCTTGTAGCTGTATGTACAGAAGCATTGCTTTAATGTTAATTATGCGTTTTAACTATGATTTTGAAAAGTTTCAATAGTAATTTTAAAAATCATTTGTGTTATTAAGACGTATGTGGGGAGGTTTCCATAAGACAGCATTTTTTCGTTGTTTCAAGCAAAGTGCTTTCAATATTATATGAATATTTTCTGTGTGAATATTTTTACCAGGCATGTGGGCTCATTCACTGACTGTTGAAGACTACCAGGATCTTATAGATCGAGGATGGCGGAGGTAAGTGATTAATTGAATATTCCAGATCATAGATTAGTATAAAAAACATGGCATCATAATCAGTCAAATACTATGTATGTCCTATAAAATACATAAAAATCATTAAGTACCCCATATATTTAGACATTACTTGAATGATGACACCAGTTGTCATCTTGCTACATAAAATAATTCTCCAAATATTACCTGCATAATTGCAAGAATTTTAGTATAAAATGCAGTATAAAATGAGAGTTAAGATATTATATCACCATGTGTTTTAAGTATTCACAGTAATATAAATAATTAACACTCTGAATAAATCCACATGTAATCTACTGCTTTTTGTTTGTAGTGTGTTCTAACAGAATGAATATTAGAAAAGGGTATGCTTGATAGATCAACCTGCCCCTCCTTTACAGGTGTGGGTATTCAAATACAGGGTGTCCTTAATTGCTAGTTAAAACATTTAACCACAACTGGGAGACCTGCAGGTCTACCCCAGCTATGGAAAATGGACATTCCCTCTGAGCAAAAGAACTCACAAGGTTGTGATTGGGTTAAAATTAAAGAAGAGAATATTTGTAGCTGCCTTTAGCTCATGCAAGAATGTTGTGATATAAATCTACCAATAAATAAAATTTGGGGACTTTTTAAGATATGGTACACTGGCATTCTTTATCTTTGGTTATCAGGGAATGAAAGTTTGCAATGAAATTTTGTCCAGTATAGTTTACCACTCTGTATCATATATTTATTGTTTCCATCTTTAATTCCAAGGAATTTAACTTAAAGGGAATCAAAATTTGAATATGTTGAACTTATCATCCACATCTTTCTCTATATAGTTTGGAAAATGTCCATTAAAGTTAAAGGAACTAAATTGCTATGGTCTAGGTCTAGGATAACCAGCTAATATTTGTATAGCCATTCAAATATTATAATACTAGTTGTAAAGGTATGAGGATAATGAAATTAAAAAATAGTTTCTACCAGCATCATTCCATCAAAGGGATTATTATAAAGCTCAAAAGATTTATGTACATTATGTATATTAACACATCAAAGATTTGAATGGCTTCTGTAAAACTTCTATAATTATTACATAATTGATTATATAATTTGTTTGTTTAGAGCTTTTTTACCTCTAAGGTGTGATGTTTATTATATATTTTAACTTAAGAGCATTGTAAGAATTTGTCAAAATATGTTCATCTTTTTAACTCTCAGAAGTGGAAAGTATGTTTATAAGCCCACTATGAATCAGACATGTTGTCCTCAATATACAATAAGGTAAGTCATGTGCAGTACTTAATATTTTTTTCTAATTTAGTGCCTGTGATTTGCAATTGACATATTCAAATGCCTGTTTAAGTGTTTAACATGTCCTAGCCTAATTTGCCTTGTAAATGAGAGTCAGTAATTATATAGCAGAGTGGTTTCTAATTAATAATTCCCATAGTGTATTGTAATCATTATAGGAAATGCCTACATGAAACTGCTTTAAGAAGCCTCGGATCTCAAGATATATCCAAATCTTGCAAGATCTTAATATTTTCACTCAAAATACTGTATTTTTCAGTGTATAAGACGCACTTCCTGCCCCAAAGTGGGTAGAAATGTCTGTGTGTCTTATACAGCGAATGTTGCCGAAGCCCTGCCCACCCACCAGCTCCTACCTGCTGGCCTCTGCCTCCCAGCAATTTGCCTCCTTGCAACAAGCAGCAAACAGCCTGATCAGCTTCAGCACAGCCTGATAAGCACAAGCAGCTGATTGTTGGTTGGATCGGCCTCCCGACAATCAGCTCTTTCAGGCTGCAGGGATCACCATTGCCTATTGCCGCCTCCATTTGCCCCATTTTTGGCCTCCGTATGCCCCATTTTCGGCCCTTTCCAATCCCTGCTGCCTGGAATAGACCAAAAATGGGATGCATGGAGGCTGAATAGACCAAAAATGGGATGCATGGAGGCTGAAAATGGCACGCATAGAGGCCAAAGACGGGGTGCAGAGGCTGAAAATGGGGCGTGTGGAGGCAGCAATAGGCAATGGTGATCCCTGCAGCCTGAAACAGCTGATCAGGAGGCTGATCCAACCGATCAGCTGCTTGTGCTAATCAGGCTGTGCTGAAGCTGACCAGGCTGTTTGTTGCAAGGAGGCAAAGTGCTAGGAGCCAGAGGCAGATTTTTTTTTCTCTTGTTTTCCTCCCCAAAAGCTAGGTACCTCTTATACTTTGGAGTTTCTTATAATCTGAAAAATACGGTACCTGTGAAAGTTTTGTATTCTGGACTAAAAGCTTGCAAGATTTCAAGGAGGACTAACTGAAATATTGTTAGATTTGGTGATGTTGTGAGATATAACTTTAATTAAGACTAATACATTTTATTTAAACTAGGGTTTCACAGATTTCATGTTAGGGGACATGTTAGGCTACAGGATGGGTATCAAAGACTTCAGTACAATGAAAGTTTGCATTAAAATCTTTATAAAGGCAACGATCAAGTATTATTAACCTAGCTAGTCAAGAAAAATTATTTAATTACTCAAACTTATATGCCTTTGAATTGTAAGACTTAACGGAAAATTAAATGAATAAAACCAATATAAAATTAACTATAGTAAACTACCATATTAAGTAGCTAATTTAAAAAGTTAGAAATAAAAACTGATTTCAGATGTTGCTGGATCAGTCCCTAAGGCTCTCTTAAACAGCTTGATCTTTACTACTTTCCATAGCATCCACATTGAGGGAGCTTGTCTAGATATAGGAAGAAAGATGTATCATAAAAGTAGCATTTTTGGCTCCTGGGTGGTACTGTCTTTTCCAGCCTTCTTTTTTCATACTAATAACTTTTCTTATATTTTACTGGTCTTCTGGAAGATGCTGCACTCTGCCTCTCTTCAACAGTTCATTGCATTTTGATGCTGAGAGGAGAGGAGGATAATCTATCATTTGAAGTGTACATGCTAGCAGGAATAGCCAACACTCCAGAAGATAGGCTTAAGATACAGAAGGATCTTGACAGACTTGAACATTGGGCGCTATCTAACAAAATGAAATTCAGCGGGGGAAAAAGTAAGGTTCTATATTTAGGCAAGAAAAACAAAATGCACAGGTACAGTATATGTGGTACCTTGCTCAACAGTAGTAACTGGGAGAGGGATCTTGGAGTCCTAGTGGATAACCATTTAAATGTGAGCCAGCAGTATGCAGCAGCTGCCAAAAAAGCGAACACAATTCTAGGCTGCATAAACAGAGGGATAGAATCAAGATCACATAGTGTTAATGAAGTGTTAATACCACTTTATAATGCTTTGGTAAGGCCACACTTGGAATACTGGATCCAGATGTAGAGACTCTAAAAAGAGTGCAGAGAAGAGCAACAAAGATGATTAGGAGACTGGAGGTTAAAACATATGAAGAACAATTTCAGGAACTGGGTATGTCTAGTTTGATTTGATTAAAAGAAGGACTAGAGGTGACATGATAGCAGTGTTCCAATATCTCAAGGGCTGCCACAAAGAAGAGGGAGTCAAGCTATTCTGCAAAGCACCTGAGGGTAGAACAAGAAGCAATGGGTGGAGAAGCAACTTAAAACTAAGGAGAAATTTCCTGACAGAACAATTAATTAGTGGAACAATTTGAACAATTTGCATCCAGAAGTTGTGAATGCTCCAACACCGGAGGTTTTTAAGAAGAGATTGGTTAACAATTTGTCTGAAATGGTAGAGGGTTTCTTGCTTAAGCAGTGGGTTGGATTAGAAGACATCCAAGGTCCCTTCCAACTGTTCTGTTCCATTCCATTCCATTCCATTCCATTCTTTCTAGATTTTTAGATGGTTTTGGCTTGAATGATTGGCTTGCATTTCATTTTGGGGAGAAATCCCTGAAGTTGTTAGGGCAAGAGTTTTCATTTTGACTGAAGAAGTTATTTTGATGAGTAATGAAACATCTCAGTATTAATAAACTTTGGTCCAGTTGCCATGATTGAGTCTTTATTTACATTCAGGATTGGAATGTACCTTGTTTACCAGTTAGCTTACTCTGCTTGTTTCTTTCTGTCCACTGGTATCAGATAGGGACATTTATATTACATTGCTCTGTGTATACAGTGTTAATAATGTACTTAAGTAACCATTTGTTAAAGTGCTATATCAATATTGATCATGTTCATTAAAAAACTTATTGAAAGTGCATATTTCACAGGATTTTAATTCCAGAAAAATGCAGTTGTTTAAACAGGATTTATAATTCCAAATTATGCACAGAATAATTACAAGTTTTGATGCTACTAAATCATATGACATATGTTACTAATAATTATATCAGTATAGCTTTTTACATTCTAGAACTAAATTATTAATTAATACAAAATGAAGTATACTTAATTACTATATTACCTAGACATACTTGACTGCAGTTATTCTTTTTTTCCTTTGAGGTGCCAAGCATTACATTTCCAACCTTCCAAATCACATAAAAAAGTTTTGAAGAAGATGTTGAAATTTTTAACAAAAGGAGAACATTCAAAAGCAGATATTGAAGGTAATTGTTTAAAAGTCCTTTATGAATTATATGTTGTGTATAATTTGTTGGTGTACTTCTTGCCAACTATTTTTTTTACCTTCATAACAAATATTTCCTAATATAGAAATTAAGGTATCTCCTTATTTTTCCAGTTGGGACTTTAAAATAACTTTTGCTGGTTCCTGTTTTCTTTAAAGAAAATTAGAGTTCTCTTTGTTATCTCAGTTGCTGTATTCAAAATGTTGCCATGTTAAGAAGGCATATATGTTAATATGTTCGTGGAATTCCACTTTAAAGGTGGCTTTTTTATTTGTTACATCAGGTTATAGTTCGGTCTACTAATGAAACGTATGAGGCGCCACCTAAATCCATTCTGTGTGTATTTAGCATAGGTGAAACGATTGTACAATGTCTCTTCACAACAGTATATTCTGTTTACAGTCTTGGGAGTCATTTGATACATTTAATTAATAATTTATTTTGAAATCTCAATTATATAAATATTGTGGAATCATCTATGTATTGAGGTTAAAAATCTAATTTGTTCATGTTAAAGTAGAAATATTAACCGTTTATGGACATGGAAGTTTCCATTTTCCCGTTTTGTATGTATGTTCTCTGTATTATTTTGCAGTAGATCCCATGGAGTCTCACACCAAAGATGCTGATGGCTGTAGTTTTCCCTTTAAAAACCCACCTATCAGAAGCCAATCTGAATTGCTACCCCTCAGTACTGATCCCACGGAAGAGGAAGAAATGACAGAAGAAATAAATGTAAAGGAAGTAGACTCAAAACATTCTGAACTGTGTAATAAAAAATTGAATACCGATTGCAATGAGCCATTACAGATAACTCATATCGGACGCGTTACTCCTAAGCCAGGTAATGTTTTTGTTTTCTTTTGCTTTAACTCAGCAAACTGAATTTACATCTGCCTATTTTATGTTGCATTGTATCTATCTTATGATTGTGAGAGCCACCTGGGAAAAACAGAATCTAATAATTGCACAATGCACCCTTTCATTCTAACAATTTTTTGCCAAAGTTTTCTAAAAGGATGGGCTTAGAAAATCCCATTTTCCCAAAAGGATGTATTTGGCATTGTTATTTTACATGAGTCTTTACCCAGTATTAACTAAGTGTATTGGAACAGAATTTATAGTAGCTCTCTCTCAGCCAAAGATAGAAAACATATTTCATCTTCATTTTTCTCCTTTTTGTGCAGGTTTTTCTTTTTGCCAGAGAAAAACACACTAGAAGTAATTGTAGTGCTTCTTAGACTAACTTAAGCTCTGCTTAACTAAGTTCTAACATTTAAATGTGTTATGGCCCTTTTATTTATCAAGAAACTTACTAAAGATAAAGGCAAAAAAAATTACAGTATAATTGGCTGTCTTCTCCATTTCATAAACTCCTTCATGGTAATGGTTCTTGTAAGCTTGTTAGTTCACAGTTCTCAGATTTATTTCACTATATTGGGTACCTAAATTAGCATCTTTGTCTGAGTTCAACAAATAAACTGGTGTTTTTTTACTTGTGTTCAGCAAGAGTGTTTCTCAACCGCAGCACTTAAAGATGTGTAGATTTCAACTCCAGTGTTGGTGGGGAATTTTGGGAATTGTGGTCTATACATCTTTCAAGGCAAAATTGAGAACTGCTGTACTAGAGAAAGGAAGAAGGTTTTCATTTGCAAAATAATGTTTGAGCCTGCTAAAATATGCCCCAGATGTGCTTTTTTTTTACTCCAGCTGGCATAGAATAACATTGGTGTTATTTGTTTTAGTTCTAATGGCTGTGGTGTTTCTTCTTTCAATTCTACCCCTTTTTTAGGAATAGGGCTTTTGTTATTCAACAGTTATGTAGTTAATTTAACCTCGTGTATGCACTTTTGAACATAAACCTAGCTACTTAATGAAATAACTTGGAAAGAAAAACATTCTCATTCTCTCTCAAAGTTACAATATAATCTTGTTCACAAGGTCCTTTTTTCTGGCTGATAGTAGGCAACCTTTCTGTTGTATCTAAGTCATAGTCATAATATAGTCCATTTTTCTGTATACTTAGGTCACTTACAGTAACTTGCAGATATAATAATAAATAAGAGGACACTAGAACCTTAACATTTCAATGGATAGGTAGAATCGCAACAATCAGAATGCTTAACTTTTTAAAAATAACACTTTCTTTATAGATAGTCATATTAAAAGTAAAAAAGTAAATGAAGGTGGCTTCCTTCAATATATGCTTTTCAAATTGAATAATATATTGGCATTATAGGCAGAGGAGCTGACTTGAATAAACCACCATGTCGTAAAGCAAAAGTCATACGGAAGGAACAAAAGCTGCAGAAAAAACTTCAATGCCAGACACGGCCAGTTTCACTTGAATCAGGGTCTCGGAGTTTGACCAGTCAGAACTGTTGTCCTAGAACAAACCATCCAAAATCAATTGAAGACTTCATTTTTGCCACCTTACCTCCTGAAGCTCTGCACCAGATAGAGGTATGAAGATATTTCTATTGCTTGTGGCAAAGTATTTGTGCCTTGTTTGCTAATGTTAAGCAATATGAAATCTGTTTTAAATGCAAAAGCAGGGAACACTGCAAAGTTTTCTTGAATTAGAAAAACATAGTGTGTTACTTGTACAGGTAGTCCTCAACTTACAACCACAATTGAGCCCAAAATTTATTTGCTAAGCAAAGCAGTTGTTAAGTGAGTTTTCCCCCATTTTACAATCTTTCTTGCCACAATTGTTAAGCGAATCACTCCCGTTAAGTTAACAACACGGTTGTTAAGTGAATCTGGTTTCCCCATTCACTTTGCTTGTCAGAAAGTCATAAAAATGATTACATGTCCCCGAGTACTGCAACCATCATAAATATGAGTCAGTTTGCCAAACATCTGAATATTCGATCAGATGACCATGGGCATGCTGAATGGTTGTAAGTGTGAAAAATGATCATGTCACTTTGTAACTTCAAACAGTCACTAAACAAACTGTTGTAAGTCAAGGACTATCTGCACTTGAAAAGTTTCATGTTCTTTGCAGAAACACAAGGGGGTGCTATGGTTCCATCTAAATGAATGAGAACATCAAGATATTGATGTATATAACTTGCATGAGAATCTAAAATGTAGCATCCTTGGAACAAAATTATAAAAATGACTATAAATGTTTAGATTTTTAGAGCCAAAGAAAGAAATAGAATTATATTTTCAACTATTTGATGAAGCCCGGAAAGAAACATTTGCCTATGAATATAGGTGATAATGTCCTAGCTCAACTAGATATGTAAAATTCTGTGTATTATATGTCCGTTACATTTGGAGCAATTGTTAATCATCCTATTATTTAATTAATTTTTGGTAAGCTGCCAAGTTATAGCTAGGAGGTAGTTGTTTTGATGGCAGCTATTTTGTTATTTCTTTGTCAGAAAAACTTGTGGGAGAAGGACCTTCTACTCAAATTAGTGATTATACCCAAACATAAATATAATACTGGTAAGAAGAGAAAATCTAATTATAAATAGAATAAAATAGAATAGAATTCTTTATTGGCCAAGTGTAATTGGACACACAAGGAATTTGTCTTGGGGCAAATGCTCTCAGTATACATAAAAGAAAAGATACATTTGTCAAAAGTCAAGAATCATAAGGTACATCACTTAATGATAAAGAAAGAGATGTGACCAGTACCTAATGGAAAATATCAATTTTTACTAAAATAGCAGACATTCATTAATATTAAATGTGCTTTATTTAAAGAACTATTTTAAGTGAAGTTTCCTTAGCAATTATGCCAAAGCAGTAAATGTTCAAAGAACATAGCTTTTAAGACCTTGGCTTAAAAAGAGTGTCTTGTTAACTTTCAGTCTCAATTTAATTTTTATTTTCTTTTAAAAGATTTATATAGCCACCCATATTGTAACAACAACCATGCGTAGCATAAAAAAAACATTGAAGCCAAGTAACTGCCTGAAACCAAAAATAAATTGACATAAAACTCTACAAAAGCTCAAGACACCTTTACCATGTTGATTGTCCTTTCTTCCATTTCTAGTCTTCTATTCTTTCCAGGAATTTCTTTCAGGCAACATTATTTTTTGACACAGTTTCATTACGATGTGCTGCTTCCTGGATTTAACCTAATCATATTATTGTTTATGCTGTCTCTGAACAAAAAGGATGCTTAACCTGAGCTTCTTTATTGCTGCCAAACATTAATGTGACCTCTGTATCACTGTGCTGTATTGATTTCTAACTGCCAGGGCATTGGGACTCACTGTTCAGTGGCATGGCAACAACATGTTTGCTTGATCTTTTGAACCTTCATAATCCATAGCCAGTGCCATGTTTTCAGTATCAAAGCATTGCTTTGGGTAGAATGAAGATAATCCAAAGGCCACATTGGTTAAATTTTTAAAAAAATATTTTTTTAAAAAAATAATGTTTTAGAAGTAGCTGATTCCAAGCATGAGGGTCTATTTGTGGTTCTATGATAACACAAACCTAAGCACATGAATTAGCTAATGCGGATCTAAACAAATTTATATTTATTTACCACTGAACTTGGTGATGCTTCACATTAAACATATTAAGGAATTCATCAATATTGTATTTTAGTACATTCAAAGTTGAGTAGGTATCCTTAAAATAAATACTCACAAATATACAATTAGATTTAAGAAAAAATATTGAAATGTTTCGAAATAGCATGTAAATGTTAATTGACCACCTAAGTCCAAATTAATGCTAATACAAGTGTGCGTATGTATGTGTGCATAAAGCTATGTTACATTTACATTTATTGTACATTTGAATATCACATAACTGCTGCAAATCAGATTTTGCCTATAGTCTTTTGAAATTATTTAAATGAAGGGCAATGTGGTTGGAACTTGAGCTTTGAATAATGAAACAAAAGAAAGCTAAATGTTCTCTTTGTGAAAAATATCTACACAATGTTGGGTTAAAAATATGAAGAAGAATAATCGTTTAAATGTTATCTGTATTGTTTTCAAACATTTAAATTTCTGATGTATATTATTGCAACAATTGTCTTTAATTCTTTGGAAGGTGAGGCTGGTGCGATCATCTCCACAAAGTTCCCAGTTCAAAGCCACATTTCAGGAGTCTTACCAGGTTTATAAGCGTTACCAGATGATTATTCACAAGGACCCTCCTGGTAAACCAACCGTCAGTCAGGTCAGGCAGCGTACTGTTTTAGTCTACTCTGAAAATCAAAAGCTATTTTTTGAAAGTATCTTAATCATAGAAATTATGAAAACTATCTCAGTTATACTAAATTGAATACCCAGAAAACACAAACAGCCTTTCACACTCATGAGTGCCACAAAATACATTTTGAAGAAAAAAGAGAAGCAATAATTAATTTGTCATAAATATTAGTAACGCTCAAGTATAATACATTGTAAATTTTCTAAACAGGGAATCTAAGATTTTCTCAACAGTATTTATGTCACTACTGTGAGTTGGAATTATATTTTAATAACACTAATACAAATGCAAAATGCTACCATTGGAAAGTTTCCTTGGATTAAACCTGTGATGAAGGTCCTATTCATAGATTTCAGTGGAATGAGATGGATAAGGAAAGCATTAGACAAAGTGGGGAAGGAAAGTCTGAAATCTGTCTGTCTGTCTATCTACTATCTATCTATCTATCTATCTATCTATCTATCTATCTATCTATCTATCTATCTATCTATCTCTCTCTCTCTCTCTCTACCTACCTACCTACCTACCTACCTACCTCAACTGACTGAGTGGCTAACAATTCAAAAAACAGCAAAAAAAACCTTTCACAAAAATGCAAAAATAAATAGTCGGCAGCTGTGATTAAAAACAGCAACATACCCAGCCACCAATACCAATACAAGTAGTCCTACACTTATAACATTCATTTATTGACTGTTCAAAGTTACAACAGCACTGAAAAAGTGACATGACCATTTTTCACAGGATGACTAGCATCCCCAATGTGATTAAAATTCCGAAGTTTGGCAACTGGTTCATATTTTTGACCTTTGCTGTGTGCCAAGGTCATGTGATCCCCTTTTGCAACCTATTGACAAGCAAAATCAATGGGGAAGCCAGATTCACTTAACAACCATGTGACTAACTTAACAAATGGAGTGATTTGCTTAACAACTGTGTCAAGAAAGATCAGAAAATGGGGGCAAGACTCATTTAATAAATGTCTCACTTAACAACAGAAATGTTGGTCTCAATTGTGGTTGTAAGTCGAGGACTACCTGTAAAAATATTTCAATAAAACTAATTCACAGGCTCCAGTAGACACTTTGACCCCAAGTTGAAGCCCATGTCTTATGAAAGATTAAACGAGTTGGGGGACAATCAGATCTCCAGGACAAGTGCTGTGAAAGGAAGGGCTTTCTTCCTGGATCCTACCAGGTAGCACTCTTTCATAGCATGACTCTTTTGTCAGATCGGACAAGAGGGATAGTCATGATTGAGGAGAGAAAATCCTGCATATAGCCTGTCTCCACGTCATGGATTATTTTATAGATAACCACCGGGATATTGAATTTGACTCAGAAAGATATTGGAAATAATGTAACTTATGGAGAAGTATCTATAACTGTCTATATTGCTGCATTTTGTACCAATTGCAGCATCTAGGTCAAAATTCTTCACACTTGTCAGCTTTAAGACTTGTGGACTTCAACTCCCAGAATTCCTCCTCTAGTCGTGATAGCTCAGGAATTCTGGGATTTGAAGTCCACAAGTCTTAAACTTGCCAAGTTTGAAGACCCTTGTTCTAGGTATTATTCAAGGGCAGCCTTGTGTAGAGTGCATTGGATTAGTTCATCTGAGAGGTGACCAAGCTGTGAGTGATTATTAGGAGAGCCTTCTCATCTAGAAAAGGGTGCAACTGGTTGGTACTCACTTGATTTTTCTGGTTGCCTGCACTTGATTTTTCATTCAAATGCTATTTTGCTAGTTTTTCGCAGGTGCTGTAAACGTTTCATAAAAGTCACAAATTAAGCCAGGCAAAGTTTAGTATCTATAGTTAGTATTCAGTACCCGTTGTCCCTGACTTATAACCATTCCTTTAGTAACCATTCAAAATTAACGCTGAAAAAGTGACTTACGATCATCGCAGCATCTCCATGGTCGCATGATCAAAATGTGGGTGTTGGCAATTGCAGTGATTTGCTTTACAAACATTACAAAAAGGGTTGTAAAATCAAGCACGATTCACTTAACTTGGTTAGCAATGGAAATTCTGATATTATAGTCATAAATTGAGGGCTACCTGTATTCATTTTAAGAATCCTGCTGATGGTAAATGATGCTGTTTTGCTCATAATGCCATTTATTATTGTGTTCCTTTCATTCTTCAACTCTTTTTAGAAAAACTTTCAATCTTTTTTCCCATTACTTTTCAGTTCTCAGCCCATTTTCATCCTACATTATGCTGTCTTCTCTCATATAGCTGAATACGTAAATTCAGTACAGGAAAAAAAAACCTTTTTAAAAAAGTGACCTAGTTAACATTTCATAGTATGTGGAAATTATTTGGGAAAATGTTAGTGCTTTTTAGCATTAGTTGAATTAAAACCATTTTTAAGGTAATGAATGACATTGTGTTAATTGTGTGATAGGCAAGGGTCTGCTAGAATGACTGGTTATTAAAGATGTGCCACAGATTATGGATAACTCGTTTGGCATTAAGAGCATTATCAGCTCTTATTTTGGCACATGAATGGAATAAAGGCAGAGGTTCAGAAATTACTAGAAATTGGCTCTGATAATTAGCATTTAGGCTGCTGCCCCAGTTACATTTTATATTTTTGCTTATAGCTTGTTCATACTGTACTGCTCTACAAATTAAGAAATAATGATTATGACTTTTGTTCTACTCAATTAAAATTGAAACATTTATTTTCCTTTTGAGAAACTTTTTATAATAGCGGCTTTGATTGTTGGAAAATTTCAGATAATCTCAGTATCTCAATAGTAGCAGAATCCTTAAAGAAAGAATTCACACGGAGAAAGTACTGCTTGGTAGATTTTGTTCCATGTGTGAACAAAGGATTTTCCTTTGAACATATTTACCAATCATAGGCAGGTAGAGAATACTGATCAGAGTGAATTCAGATCACAACATGAAAACTGGAGTATAAAAGTTAACTTCAAAAACTAAAACTCTTGGCTTCCTCAGAAACGTAGATTATTAAATGCCACAAAGTGTTACAAAGTTATCTATGTACAAATTGTATTTTATCATTTCTGTGTAGTATTTATTTACATTTACACAGATATTTGTATGCTGCCTATTCTGTAGTCTATTAACATGGAAGAAACAGGTTAGCATATAAAACGGTGGGTTTTTTTATGGTTGATGGGGGTTCCCTGTGTGTTTCCTTGGCAGAGGCTTTGAAACGGATCTGAGGAGATGATAGCCTGGCCTACCCTTCAGAAATGTTAGGACAAATTTAAATAAAATATTGTATTTTCCCCTGCTCTGAAGGTGAGGTTAGTACCAGTTTCTTTTGAGGACCCACAGTTCAGTTCATCTTTTACTCAGTCTGCCACTTTATTTGCCAAGTATCAGATGACCATACACAAGGACACTCCTTTTGAATGTGACAAGGACCAGGTACAGTTTATTGCATGTATTTTTTTTGTCCATATTATTAATGTTATCAATAAACATGAATGGACTTATTTCCAGTCATTCAGCTCGATCTAATCTTTCAAAGCAAAATTTTTCCCAATCTTGTTTAAACTAAAAACAGGAGCCCAAATAAATCCTGGTATAGAAAAGAGTCCACAGAGCTTCCAAGAATTACAGCATCTGTCCCATCTTGTTGGAGCTAATCAGAAATACTTTGGTATTTTTTTGGTATTTTCCATGGATGGAAACCCAGGGTTCTAAGTTGGAAAAAGAACTCAGAAGGAAACAGTGTCACAGTATTTTCCTTACTGTTACTAATAAAATTTATGGTTGTGTCCATGAAATCATTAGGAGCTGAACTCAGTTTAAGTGTCCTTTACCTAAAACAATATATGAAAACATCTGAATTATTTTTAACAAAAACATCCAATACAAGTCATACATCAACAACTGTAAATGTTAAAATCAGTTTAAATTAGATATATGCAACCTTGAATCTGCATGTACATGAACTAAAGAAGGAAATAAAACTGCAGCTGGGGTAGCTCTATTCAAGAGACACCCTGCCGTCCCATGGAATTAAAAAAAATTGTTTCTGAATAGACATATAGAAGATTGAGGAAAATTGTACTGGCCCAGATGGTTAAAGCAAGCAGATAACTCTGAATAACAGTTCTAATTGCAAGAAGTAGAATGGTGATTCCTATACTCTGTGGTTAGATTCAAATTAAATGAGATGCTCTGAGTTTTCAGTAAAATTTATGTAATTTAAGTTAAGCTAATTTTATATTTCAATGAAACGTAAATGTAATTACCTCTATCAGTTTTTAGTAAACTGAGATCTGGAAAAGTAAGCTGCAAAGACATGATAATCCTATGTGGATTTTACATGTAGCTGAAACAGCCTGAAAATAAACAAATTATTAAGAAACTTCTACCAGATAAGTGCTAATAGACTAAAATTGTTCCATATAGGATGTCCTTGTTAATGACCACAACTGGGACTGAAATTGCCGTCACTAAGTGATGTGGTAGAGCATGACACCGCATAACTGTGCTGTTTAGCAGTGGAAATTCTGGCACTCCTGGTTGCTGTTAAGCAAATCATGTGAGTCATTAAGTGAGGACATCATATGGTCATCATTTGTGATCTCTTGTCAGTTTCTTCATTGATTTTGCTTGTTGGAAGACAGCAAAGAAGATTGCAGATGGCAATCACATCACTGTAGCAATATTGCAGAAGCCAGAACTCCAAAATGCCACTTGTTCAGCACCTTGCAAGTTTGATTGCTGAACAAATAGTAATTGAGCGAGGACCACCTGTAATGCAGTTATTTTAAGAACTGACAGCTGAAGACAGGTTAGATTGTTTTTCATAGATGTTTCATATCATTATTACAAGTTAATTGAATTAATAGGAACAACTCCATCCAGTCACCCCGACTCAACCCCAAATAGGAACTATAGGGTCGTAAAGAGGGAGATAATTGAATTAATAGGAACATTTATAAACTACACATGAATGGCTACAGTACATCAAAAATTTGAAATAGTTCTACTGATACGTATCCAAATACCTTCCCTGTTTTCTTAGGCAATCCATGCCTGTTTTATCTACCTGCATGTTGTCCCTAGTCTTTCCCTTCATTGATCTTGGAGTTCACATACTAAGTGAGTATCAGCAAAAACTTTTATACTCCCCAGGCTCCTTGGTCAGATCTGTTCTGCAAATAACACAGAGTTTCTCCTAGGTAAACCATTAGACTTCGTTATAGTATTTTAATGGAATGGAATTTCCTCTGAGATGGTACTGCAAGCAACCCAAGGTTACTGCACGGTGCTCGGTACTTTTATAGTTATTTACTATTCATGTTTGAAAGGATTGTATTGAATGCTATAAATTTTACCAAAGGAAGGTGTATTGTTCTGTGGTTTACTACTTTACTACTCAGAATGGTTCATTAACATAAAGAGCCTTGATAGTATTACAAAGAACATTAAGGTTGCACTGCTAGTGTATCATCTCCATTGGGTTTCTAGATGATGGTAATTCATCACAGGTTTCCAAAAGGAAAATGTGTTTAAGGTATTTTTGTGCAAATATTGAAGATTTCAGGTACCTTTCCTTCTCTTTTTCCCCACGTTTTTACAGTTCAATAAAAATATGGTCAAGGAATTAAGTTGGGCAGGTAGAAAGCTTCAATTCCTACAAGTTTGGATTAATACCTTGTTCCTTCCTTTCCACTTTTGTTAATTTTAATATTTATGATCTTGAGTTTTTCATGTGTTATCTTTCTATTTTTATTATGTTGTAAACTGCCTTGAGTTGCCTCTAGACAATAAGGTATCATATAAATTTAATAAATAATAATGCTTTCCTGCAGCTGGATAGTATGACCTTTATTTTAAATTTGTTGCTTCATTCTGTAAAGTCAGTTGAAAGTTCTGACACCACCAACCACGTTTGTTCCCAGAAAACCTGAATGCTAATTAAAGAATATTCCAGAATTTGCCATAACTAAACTGTTCGTAATTCCATCTTCAGACAAAACTTCAGCTGGTGCACATAAACAGAATGTATCCATATTGCTATATTGTAGTGCTGTTTCTTAATGAGACTTTTAATATGGGACCAAAATTGTGCTCCTGCTTGAGCTAATTAAGTGTGCTGAAAATTTGTATCCAATTACAGATTTTTTTTAACCTTAAAATATATTTTTCTCTTCTTTAACTGTATTTGATAATATAGTGTTACTATTTTGGGCCTTCCATACGCAGCTATAATGTTCCTGGTTATTAAGACCCTTTATGGTGTTCCAGGTCTTCTGAAAAAACAGTTTACATCTTCAGGGTAACCACAGCAAACCAAATGGCAATTGCACCAAGTTAGAAAACATTTCCATACATGATCATAAGTTGGTGGGTAATTCTCTTAAATAGCCACAGCAAACTATTTTACTGCAATACTTACTTAATGGAGCAGGCATTTTCACCACTACTTTTGGTATATTTCATAATGACAAGTTTATAGGAAAAAAAATACTACGTAGCTCAGTTTCCACTGCAAAACTGGACAAGCTCCTTACCTTGAGCTTAGTCAAATATTTGTTTTGGAAGGAAATTTATTTAAAGACCCAAAAAATATTCTTTGCTTAAAATGCTGCACCAGTGTGACTGAACTGGTTATGAATAGTCTTTTCCTTTCTTTGTTACTCTACCCCCACCTCGAACATACAGTTGAGTGTTTAAAAAGGGAAATGGAACGTAAAAGAAAAGAAAAGAAAGTAGTTGAATAAGAACAGATTTTTTTTTCCTTCTCCCTTAGGGCATAAATATCTGAAACAAAACTGCAGTTTAAAGCATGCTTTCCTTGTGAATTATTACCAATTGGTCCAGATATTTATTTACAATTCTGTGATTCTGCTAGAGTCATAGCAGGTTAATGATGGTATATAAGATATAATTATATCACAAAACCAATTAATAGCAACTTAGATAAGTAGTTGTAGTTAAGGGATCTCTCTTTAGGAGACAGATCTAATCATAGTATTAAATAATTTGTGTGCCCTCAAGAACCATAGAACAGTGATTAGATGTTATAGCTTTCATATAGTTATCTTAATAATAAATAGTTAAAATATTCTTGTAGGAAAGACTATACTGTATACTCTTGAATATGAGCAAATATTTTGGTAATGTGGTAACATATATTAAACAATAGAAATTTAGAATTAAAATTTTGTAGGGTCCTCCAGTGTCAAAAATATTTACAATGGAAAAAATACTATTTAATTACATTCTATTTACCAATTGATCGTATGTATAATTGAGGAATTAGGAAGTTTACATAAAAGCCAAACAGGCAGTTCCTATTACAATAGACTGTTTCTCAGATCTGAATGGATCTTCAGCAAGCTACTTAACTACTTTCGAATTCAGGAGTATAATTATAATAATGAAACCAACAATTTTCTTCTAAGGTTTATAAACAGCTTCAATTTATTCAGTCTTTGGAACAGCTTGGTTGTGAATAAGTGAAAAAACTATGTGGATGCAACATTGTTTCATTGTCTTCAGGGCTTATTTAAGTTTACAGAAGACTTTCCTTTAATTGCTAAATAGATTGTAAATATTTACTGTCCTTTTGTGGATTAATTATACTTTCTTTGGATTGAATAAAAATAAAAAATGGTATCAGGAAAAAAAATACAGGTAGTCCTTGATTTATGATCACAATTGAGACCAAGATTTCTGTCATTAAGTGAGACATGAAAAAAGTGTGTTTTGCCTTGTTTTACAACCTCGGTCGGTTCTTTTTTTTCTTGCCTCAGTTGTTAAGTGAACCACAGCAGTTGATAAGTTAATATTTGTTAGTCAGAAGGTTGGCATGGCTTCAGGACAAAGCAACCGTCATAAGTATGAACTTCAGGCATCTGAATTTTGATCATATGATCATGGGGATGCTACAAAGGTTGTAACTGTGAAAAATGTCATAAGTCACTTATTTCAGTGACATTATAACTTTGAAAGGTCACTAAATAAACTGTTGTAAGTCGAGGACTACCTGTACTGTTTATGTGAGAATTTGATTCTTTAAAATCTGTCTTGCAGTGCAATAAAGAATGGTGGATGCCATGCACTTATGTCAACTTATTTCATGGCAATTGGGATTCTTTCAGAAAAAAATGGAATGACACCAGTACTTTTGGCCATGTTTGTCTATTTTTTAGTATATCTTGGGGGCAGAAGGTATTCATCTATATAGTTAGGCTTCTTTTGATTCCCCCCTTCATTTCTTTTGTCTGTTTTGTATGATAAAGTTGATAGCTAGTCTTCTTTTGCTTAACTAGTTACAATTTCTGTAGTATGAACAGTTGGGTATCTTGGCTTCATGTAATTTCTGCCTTCTGCTCACAGTACTGCCATAAATAAAAGTGAATAAACAAATGGGATTCTCCAGATTTTTAAGAAAACTTTTCTATAAAAACACATCACCATTAGTTTATCTGACAATGTGATATTTGGATTGGACATTATATACATACACACACTACAAACAAAAATTTTAGGCTATCGTATGCTATATACGAGTCTTCATGAATGCACAAGGCTGCTATTAGAAAATTTTGTTTGCGGAAGAATTTGTATTGTGCTCTGAATATTTTGCTGAAGGAGCTTTCCTGAATGTATCTGTAAATGTAACTTTGTTTTCTTTGTGTTCTTATAAATTCTTTGGAACTATTTTTGTACTCAAGTTAAATGTGAAACTTCATCCTTTAAAAAAAAAAGATGTTTCTGAGTTGATTATATTGCTTCTGTACATTGCTTCTGTATAGAGAGCCACTTTGAACTAGTGATTAAGGCACAGGTTAGAAAGCAGGAGACTGTAAGTTCAAGTTCCCCCTTAGCCATGAGAGCCATTTGGGAGACTTTGGGCCAGTCACTCTGTTTCAGCCCAACCCACTCACAGAATTGTTGTGGGGAAAATAGGAAGAAGGTATTGTTGTGGCCTGACAACTGTCAGCAGAGCTGGCGGCAGACACGGACAATAATGAGGCTGGGGAGGAACTGGGCCAGTGCTGGAGTCTGGGGAAGGCTCTGATGGATGCTCTGTGTCAGAAGCAGAGATAGAGCCAGGGCCATCTGACATTTCCCAGCTGCCTTTGGAGTTGGAGATAAATGGGGAACAAGAACAGCTGGAGCCTGTTCCAGATATGCGTATGTGCAGAGCTGCCAGAGGAGGAGAACAAATAAGGAATAGGAGGCAACTCAAAATAAAGGCACACATGGATGCTGAATGACCCCTCCTGGAGGAATAAATGGAAGCAAAAGGGGAGTGGTGGTTACAGGAGACAATAGTTCATATTTCTCTAGGAAGATTTTGCTTATCGTGGTTTGTGCCTAACAGAAACTCCTTGCCAGGAATTAATTTACAGCTTTGTGACTGAAGCCTGGCAATTATCCAAGGACTGATACGATCTGTTCTTGCGTTTAACCCTTGGAAGTATTGCGTTTAACCCAAGAACCCTTGTTCATGCTTTTAACCCTTGGAACTTTTCTGTGTGTGAATGCCATGAATTCACAGTAACTAAATAAAGAGGGTTTTTTTGGGAGAAGGAGTTTATTTCTTGGTTCTGCTAAGCCTGGGTCAGAACAGATACGTTGGATATGTTCACCACCTTGAATTATTTGTAAAAGTAATAAAGTTGGGATACAAATAAATAAAATAAAAACAAGGAAAAGAAGATCAACAAGCTATTGAAATCAAGGCAAGGACATTTCAATTAGTACAGATACTGTAGTCCTCGACTTATGACCAGTTGTTTAACAACTATTCAAAGTTAAGATGGATTTTTAAAGTGCTACTTATCATTATGTTCCATGTCAAAGTTACAACTATCCCATCCCACGGTCATGTAATCATGTTTTGGGTAACTAGCTCGCAGTGTTCTTTGGTCATGTGACTGGTTTGTGGATCATAAGTAGCATTTTAAAAGAGCAATAAACTATTAAAAGAGTGAGGCAAGGGTATAGATTTTATATAATCCTAGTTTGTTCATCTGATTGTCCCACTGTTTTACAGTTGTAATATTAGTATCTTAAAATCTTCAATCTACTGTATGAAATAAAAGCCACTTGAACGCCTTTAGGTGCATTTATTAAAATAAAAAGCTAAAATATAATTTAGTTCAGGAGTTTCCAACCTTGGCAACTTTTAGACTTATGGACTTCAACTCCCAGAATTCTTCAGCCAGCAAAGCTGGCTGAGGAACTCTGGAAATTGAACTCCAAGGTTGGAGACCCCTGATCTAGTTCATTATATATGAATCAGACAGGCAGGCAGCATAGTAACAGTTATAGATTTTCAAGAGCTAAATTTACAAAAATATTTATTTATACAGCTGCCCATCTCAACAAGTAACTCCTCCTGTTAATATTAAGACATGAACTGTATTATTGTTATTTGTATTGATACAAAATTTTGAAATAAATTGATTTATTCCATCACTGTTAATAATAGTAAAGCAGTAAACATTAAGTTACTCTTTTCAATAATATTGCATAATAATGCATTGCAAGAAATATTAACTTATTTACTCTGTTTGTGTGTTTCATTGTTTCATGTTGATCTGACTGTTCTGGTGATGTGAACTTCTGATAAATGCATCAAATACAGTTTACGCGATTTCTCTGCGATTCGCCACTTGAGGTATGAAATTATCTTTAACACTAAATCTTTGTATTATTTAAATGCAATGTATACTTTTCTGTATCTAAACTTTGCTACTATATTTATAATACAGAAAATGAAATGTTCTCAATTTCACTAATTGAGCATTTAATTAATTTTGTTATTGCTGATTTAATTCTTTGAGTTTCATTTGAAAAGAGTTGATAAGTTTTATATTTTTCTTTATTTTATGAATACATTGCTTAAGGCTGAAGTATACATGCTTTAGCTTGATATTTCTGTATATCTGTAAACAAATTTAATGAGTTTTTTAGTATTTAATAGATTGGCATAAGTAAGCATAAGGATATTCTTCATATACAAAGACATTAAGCAGCATGTTTTAACTAAAATATTTTTATTTATTTATATAATTTATATTTCATCCATTTTACTGCCAAATGACTCAGGGTGGCTTACAAATACAGTCCAGTGATGCATTAATCTGACTTAAAAGTTAAGCAATATTTGTGGGTTTTTGTACAATAGATGATATTACAGTAGGTGATAAGTGATTACTAGGAATTGTAAACAGAAAACGATGGTATGTGCAAGAGAAATAATGTTAAAATGAGTATTCCATCAATGCAATATGGATTCTGCCCTTTTTGCATTTATATCATGAAATTATAAACCCATACATGGGCTTATAGCAAGAATTGATGACACCACAAAACAGCCAAATAATACAAATGTAGAAACCAAAGTGCTCTGGGGCTTAAGAATTCAAACAGATAAGCACCTACTACATAGCATTCCAGACTTAATAGTTATTGCGAAGAAAGACAAAAAAGTTTGGATAGTGGACATTGCAATACTTCAAGACAGTAGAATAGAAGAGAAAGGACTAGAAAAAACAACAAAGTACAAAGATCTACAAATTTAAGTAGAATGGCTGTGGCAAAATAAAGCAAAAACAGTACTAGTAGGCACCATGGATGTAATCCCAAACATATGGAACATTATTGGCATTGATAAAATCACCCATCAGTTAATTGGAAAAAGGAGTTTTACTTGGAACAGTTTACATTCTGTGACAGAACCTTTACACCTTCAAACAACAACATCTGCTTATCCCAGGTCCTTGGATAGATACACTCACACATGGCATTTAGCTTCTTATTCAAGTTTAGTCTCTCTGATCTCTGTAATTAATTCTAACATGGGTTCAATTGATGGCCAGTTTGCTGATCTTTTCTTATCTATGTAACATTCTTATATAACCACGAATGGCTAACTTAAAGTCTGAGAATAAATTGAGCTTCTTAAAGCCTCAAGACCTTTCATTATTTTTTCAGATAAAACTAAATAGGTTATATTGGTTAATGACCACAAATGAATTGAACTGAGTAGCAATTTAATCCTTCCCAGGGTTCATAGCTGTGGAATAAATGGTACAGATGGCTATATGTGATAAATGATAGTGGAATGAATTTACAAGGTAAAGCAATATAAGATTTCTTAAGGCTGTGGTAAGATTTCTTGTGGGTGTGTGTGTGTGTATATACACATACCGTATGTATTAGTAGGAAAAGTAGCTTATATTTATAAAAAGGGAACACTTAAGGGTTTCATTGTATCTGCATATTAGAATGATTTAATGCTCAACTGTATGTATGTGTGTATATAACACACACACACACACACACACACATTCATATAGCGGTCTTTTTTGTATTATTGGTAAGAATCTTTGGGGGCAGAAATGGAATGTAATTTTGCAGATGACCTTCAGGTTTTGTCTTTGAAGTCTTTGGAACCATAGTTGCTTGCCATGTTTTGATAGAAATTCAAAAACATGTACAAATATATTTATGGAAAAAGGGGTTCAATATGCTATTTACATCTGTGATAAAAGCTTTACCAATTTTATACATGTATCAAAAAATATGCAAAAAATAAGAAATGGTATGACTAGAGTCCCAGCTACCAGAGAGAGAAAGAGAGGGAGGGGAGGGGGAGGGAGGAGAGGGGGACACGGCAGGGGGAGGAGGAAGGGGAGGGGGAGGGAGGGAGGGGGAGAGAGAGAGAGAAAGAGAGAGAGAGAGATTACTACATCAAGGACAGTATCTAAGCAGCCAAAAATACTAAAGTGCAATTCTCCAGGCGTTAAAAGGGTGTCTGAATCTGCTTTGGGGGCAAGTTGTGGACTCTGTTTAAAAAGTATTGTATCTGCTTTTACAATGTTGTGACCAAAATACATGGAGGCATTTACACAGCAAAGAAAAAAGAATAAATTTTATTCTGTTTTGCAAAAGATAAATCTGGAGTTCGCAAGCAGAACCTAAAAGGATTCTTATGCTTGAGCACTTTTCTTTTTTTTTAAAGAAACCCCAAATGTATAAATCAGAAAAAAGGCTCACAGTTTCAACATTGTATTTTGCTTCTTGAAAACAGAAAGCCCAGCCTGGAGAGTTAATGCTAGTTTAAGGTGAAGGCTCCTGATGACTTAATATCTAGTGGTTAAAAAAACTTTTTTTTTCCAGACCTTAAAGAGTTAACTACCACATGAGTATAATGAAATTGTCAAGTTACAGTAATTGCACCAGTAATTTGAGATGTTGCATTTTGAATGAAGCCATGTGTGAACAGTTTGTTGTTTTCCTTTACTGGATTTACCGTTACCTTTTTAAAAAACTTTTCTCCAAGCTATGAAGGCTACTCAGAATCATTAGACTTAATAGAAAAAGATTTTTATCACCATGTCAAGTAAAACAGTAGATCCTTATTATTTTCCTTCCTTTGTATGTCTGTATGGTTGCTTATTTATGTTTTGCTCTATGTGTATTTTTAACTTATGAATCTTGAATTGACTTTTGTGTGGCACTGCTTGCATATGTTTCTAATTAGACAACTCTAAAAAGGATTGCATATGCAAGGCCATAAAATTTTTTGAACAAACTACATGCCAGTTAAAAAGGGTATATCTCCTTCTTTTTCAGTATAATACATGCACGCATATGCCCAAACACAAAAGCAGATTTGAAGACTTTGGGAAGTACAGCATCAAAATGTTAATTTGAGCCTCCTTTATATACACCCTATTTTCTTACTGCATTCCCTGCAAGGATCATTGTTTTTAGTTGTCGGTAACCCAGAAGACTTTGCGGACATCGTGGGGAAACCCAAAATAAAAATAATTCTTGGAATTATATTACAACAGATTAGTTTTCTTACTTTTAATGGAATATATTGACTTCTAATCATTTTACATTTTGACACTCAGGGTAGTTTCACATACATTAACATTGTTTGTCATGTTCAGTTGTACCAATTATGTGTTTATGAGACAGGAAAAATTCAAAATATTAATTAACTGAAGGGTATTTTTATTGTCCTCTTTTCTTCAATTTAAATAAATCTGGTCAAAAATAATTTTAAACAAGTACATATTATCAAGTGGATAATATGCTATGTATGTAGCCTTGGAAGTATGTTCTTCATAATTTCTTAAAACTTGCATTCAAGATTTTAGTTAAGACAGGCTAGAGCCGTGATGACAAACCTTTGGCACGTGGGGGCACAAGCCCCAGCCAAACTTACCTGCATTGTGCATACGTGCGCCTCCCAGCTGGTTTTTGGCCCATTTGAGGCCTTTTTCAGCCTCCCAGAAGCTTGAGGGAAGCCTCTGCAGCTTGGGAGGCCAAAAAATGGGCCCATTTAGTGATGAAACAGGCCCGTTTTTCGGCCTCTAAAGGCTGCAGAGGCTTCCCTCAAGCCTCTAGGACGCCGAAATAGGCCTCAAATGGCCTGAAAACCAGCTGGGAGCGCGCACATGCGCAATGCAGGTAAGGTTATGTGTGTGTTGCGCATGCGTGCGCAGGGGGCGCATTGCATTATTGGTGTCGGCATGTGCGCGCACTACTGCATGCGTGCACATGCTTTCAGCACACCACAACAAAAAGGTTTGCTAGAATATTGGGCTAAAGTATAGATTTCAGGCTCATGGCATTACATTGCAGTCACGTGACGTATTGTGACATTTTTCCCCTTTGTGGAGTTGGGGCCTCTGTGTGACGCATCTGGCCCGTGGACCACCAGTTTGACACTTCTGATCGAGATGAAAACAGACTTTAATAGGAGACCAAAGGACAATAATATAAAAGAAAGACAGAAGCCACCTAATATTAGTGGAGAAAAGGAAAGTGTTGGAAGGATTGAGGACAGTGGCTTGGTAGGATATGTTTATGTCAGTAACTAAGAGTAGGGAGGAAAGGGGCTGAGAATATTGTATATACTGTGCTGAATCAGTTGATAGTTGCTGAAGGAAGAGGAAAAAGCTACTTGGAATATTGGTTGTGGGTAAGCTGCTGGCATATACTGCACTGGAAACACATTACAGCCTTGCTCTACATTCCCTGTCCAGATTTTATTTTATATGAAACCTCAATCAGAATGTTCGAAGTTTTGGTTTCCACCAAATTGGCTGACTGAATGGTTGCTCTAGATTCTGAAACAAACAATTTTTGCAAGTCTTAAAGAGTTATAGAAAGGTAGATTTCAGTTGAATGTTAGGGAAATTTTTCTAATGTTAAAAGCAGTTTGACAGTGGAACCAATTCCCAAGAAAAAGTGGTGAGCTCATCAGTTAGTTGGATGCACTCAAACAAATATTTACCACCCATTTGTTGGAGATACCTTAATTTGGACTACTTTGCTAAGTATGGAGTTAGATTCCATGAGTTTGACTCAATAGCCTAACTGCCCCTAATAACTTAATCAGATATAATTTAAATTGTAAAGATATTGCCTGGCTTTAATAAATAAATGATTTTTTGGATAGAATAGTATCTAAGTGTAATTGGATTTTTAAAAGTTAGAATGGCTTTGCTGACAGTTCTTAAAGGCTCTCTAAAGACAGTGACTCTCTGCAATGAATAATAATGGCAGGATAGAGGAATTCAAAGGAGAATTTGAGGTTGTTTTTTTTTAATTCTCATTGTGTCTTAGTTGGAGGTCTGCAAGAAGCAAGAATCTGGAGAAAAGGATTTCATGTGTTTGTGCCTAAAAATCCCCAGGGGAACTGGAACTAGTACAGTTGTCAGGGTTCATTTAGTCATGTGAGGGATCATTTATTTCTTTTATGTGCTGTTGGCTCAGTGGTGGCTGTTTTTTTTTAATCTGTTCCGATTCTGCAATTCTTACCTCTTTGTTTCCTCAGACTACTTACAGATTTCTGAGTGCTAGCTTTGGGACAGATCTCAACCTTATGGAACTTGTTACAGCTAAATTCTCTCCAATCTTTATTTTGATACCTTTTTTTTTTAAAAAAAAGAATCATTTTTCTACTCTAGTAATGGGCATTACTATCTAGCACTGTATAATCCAAGACAACTTAGATCTGTTAACCCTGGTTAAAATTGGAGCCGTCTACTTAAAAGTTGGTTCCTATGGAAGAGACACCCAGATTCTAAGTAGAGGGGCATCTCATATAAGAACAGTGGAAGTAGCATAACTGTCTAAGTGAAGAAGAGCCACATCCAGATACCCCGGATTAGAGAGCGGTGAGTGTGATTCCCAGGAGTTGTCTGATGGTTAAGTGTCGGCATCTCTTCTCTTCAACTAGTTAAGTTGGCATAATAAATTAAAAGATTATTGTAAATTCATTTTCCTGGATTGCAAGCTGCTTTGGGATAAACACATATTTTCCTGAGATGTATTTTTAATGAGGAGCATGTAGGTACAACAAGTATACCTATATATCTCCCTGAAGTATGGTTTCTGAAAAAGTCTAATCATTATTTGGTGACAACTTGAAGCTAAGAAAATTAAAATTATTTGAATATAATTCAATTCAATTAATTAAATGAGCATACTGAATTTTCAACAATGATTAAATCACAGTAGACTCAAAGCAATTTACATAAGCATAATTATTATATAAATTGGATTTACAATGTTAGGGTCATCAAAGGGTGGCAGGGGTGTCAACTGCAATGCTGATCCGGCCCTCAAAGAAATCCAGTTTTACAATCCTGATTTAAACCATCAAACCCAACCTTAGTACATTTGAGAGATATACATTATTAATTGCGGGTGATTATTCAAGGTGATTGCCTTGAATGTTAATTTTTTAAAACAATTGAAAAGTAGCAAAAAAAAGGTCATAAACTGATTCATATACTGCACTAAGCTGTAATGCCGGTTCTTTGAAAGAACTCACTGTAGCCTTTGCTATTGATTAGGAGTCTTTTTCTCAATATGTATTTATGTGTTTTCCAAAGTATTAGCATTTTTAAGTATGATTGCTTTGTTGTGTGATAAATCTTTCCCACCCCCTACTTGCTAACACCAATTTTAAAAGGTCATACTGAATAAAAACAAGATCCTTCTATCCTGATCTTAATTTCCTAGGCAGAACATTTACCAAATGGACCAGATTGTGGCTATGGTTCTTTTCACCAGCAATATTGGCTTGCGGGAAAACTAATTGCTGTCGGTGTAATTGACATCCTTCCGAAGTGTGTATCTTCCGTGTATCTCTACTATGATCCTGATTTTTCTTCTTTGTCTTTGGGTGTCTATTCTGCTTTAAGGTAAGGAGATACATACAAGATTCTTGTCATATTTTTGCACTTAAAAGTGTTCAAGTCTAATCTAATCTAATGACATTTCCAATGCATTTAATGACCACAATTGGGATCCACAAATTAGTGGCTAAGTGATGTAGCTGCAAAATGGAAAATAATGTCCTAGTGACTGTGCTTACAGATTTACTTCAGCTTTCCTTTGCTTTACAGTGGCAGGTGGATACAACTTCAAGCAGTTGGATGAGCCCAAATGGCAGGGAGGGTTTCTTGAATTCAACTAAGAGCACTTTTCCCTTACTCCCTTAGCCTTTGAAATGCTCACTCCAACACTGGGAAAATTAAGAAGAGAGAAAGAAAAAAATGTATTTACTTTTATTGGAGAGGAAAGGATTACAAGAGAGTAAGCAGGCATACTTGGGGAATACACATGGGGAATGCGCTGGTCCCATCTGCTGGCCTAATGGTTTCTGGGCTCCAAGCCCTGGGCTTCTTAGAAAGAAAACAAAAAGGAAAGTTGTGGAACTGATTAAACTCCCATCAGTTACAAGCAGCAGTTGCCAGGAAACTAATCAGGTTCGTTGAGGTAAGCTTGTTAATATGGACTTCATATTTTTTAGAAATATGGAGCTTTAGAAAAAAACCACTGAGAAGAGATCACTTGTATAGGCAAGCTCTTTGCTCAGTGGGAGGGGAGAGACCAGTTAGACAATGCATGATTGTTATGGTGAAAACATGATGGAGATGCAGTTTCCTGCATCTTCCCACAACCAAAACAAGACATAAGTCAGGGAAGGCTCAAGGGGGTGTGAGAAAGGTATGGCATGGATTGGGGGGAGCAGGGAGCTGCAAAGGGGTCATGCAAGGTGTGCAGGATGAGGGCTTGCAGAAGATGAATAGGTCAGGAGGATGTGCAAGACAGAGGTTGCGAAAGGGACAAGGAAGTTGTGAAAGGCACAGGTTGAGGGAAAAGCATGAAGAAACAAGGGAGGGTGAGGAAGGTAGGTGCAAGTCACAGAGGTTGCAAAGGAGCTGTGATGAAAGCCAGGAAAGTGTGTCAAGATGTGTAAGAGACCAGTTTGCATAAGCATAAAACGGCTGGGGCAGCCTTACCGCAGTGAATCCAATCAGTCCCTGTTCTATTTGTATATGATATTGACACACATACAAAAGGGTAGGACTTTGATTTCCATAATTGTGGCTATCATCTTAACTTTCCTCACCAGCTTTCTTCCACAGATGCAGTGGGTTTTTTTTCCTTGAAAAATGTTCTTCTGTTTCTTTTAGTTTCTCATTAAAAAAATCAAATGTGTTCGTCCATATAGATAACACCACAGGTTAATCATTGATGCAACAAATTATGATGTGTTGGATGATATTTAGGCAATAAACAAAACAAATAAATAAATAAATGGCAGCTGTAGTAGCAAGGTCGTTTAATGTAGCTAGTAACTGTTAATAGTTGCAATACTTTTTCCCCTAATGGAAAGAATGTATTATTTGCTGATAAGCAGTATTTGGAGTACCTGGTGTCTCTGTGTTTAGCTTAACTATAAAGTTAAGCTAAGCTCAGTGTGCTTTTACGTCTAGGTTACTTAAGAATTAAGCTTGCTAAACTATCAATATATAAGGGTAAATTAATTTGGGGATTAGTAATTCTTATGTAGAATTGCTACACACAAATAATTAAAGTTGCTAGGAGTAGCAAACTCTTAGGGCATTAGATACGTACAAGCTGTTACCAGCTTTATTCTATGATTTTTAAATGAGCCATAATGCTACACTGGCGGTGTTGTTTTGCTAAGCATTTAAAGAATTACTATATTAAAATATCAGCAAACTTTTTAAAATTAATATGTTTGGTCAAAGATTGATTGGCATATTCTTAACTAAGTTGATCAGCAATCAAATGAGTTAATTTGGATCTTCCTTTCTGCTATATGCTTAGTTTTAAATTTCTTGTGCCTCTGAGAATGGCATCTGTTTATTTTCTTTTTCTAGGGTCAGTGTATAAAAGATGATGTGGGACAAATGAATTGCTTTTTTTGTGTGTGGAGAACAGAAATGACACTATTTCTATTTGCAGAAATACTTGAAAGCTTATAACCTTATCATATTTGATCCAAGGGTAATTATTTTGCCTCTTGCAAAACCATCTCACAGATTTTCAGTGTTACTGTTTTTCTTTGATGCAACTGTTGAACTCAATAAAGGTCTACCAAAATTTCTCAACCAGACCCACATCTTTGTATAATATTGGACATGCCAATAGTAGCCTTCCTTGTACTGCTGTGTTCAATGGCTACACTGAGGATGTTTTACTGACGAAGAATAAAATAGCCTCTTCTCAATGTTATAACAGAGTTAGAGGCCATGTAATTAGGAATAAAACTTCTCTAATCCAATCTATATATGGTAGCACTAAGAAAGAGCTAGTACTTTGTAGGATGCTGTATTTAATGGTCGTTTGTTTGATCAAGCTAACTTTCATTATATGTTACTCCAGGCCATTATAGTTAACTGTGGCTTCATCTGGCTTTCTGTTCCTGTGCTCGCTTCTAATTAGATGGAAAACATACTCTGATTTATAATGGCATTGAATTTAAGAGTTATTTTTCAATACAGGAAAACAGAGCAAAAGAAATAGTAAACTAGATTAACCAGTTTTGTGGCACTCTGAAATGTCATTAGTTTTTATTCATTACTTTGTGGGCAATGAGAAATGAATTGGAAATAATTTGTGTTTGGGAAACAGTAATTAAGATTATTTTCGGTAACAGTTTGATTGACTCAGCCAAAGAACTATGATATTGTTTACAATCTACCAGTCAGATTTTTTTTATTAAAATCATTTAAATGCTTAACTTTTCAGTGTTTGAATACTGCTAAGGAGAATTAGAATGATAATGCCTTATAGTTTGGGTTCATTCCCATTTCTGAGTGTTTCTGGCCGTGAAAAAAAAAATCTGTAATTAATAGTAGTATTGATATGATAGCTATCGATACCTTACATTTGAATACTACAAGAAGTTGTAAATGGTACAATAACTCAGAATGCATCGTTAAAAACTATTATGTGAATTTGATGTGTAACATTCAGTATTGGTTCCTAATCTATCATTCAGAATTTATGTAAAACATGTACTCATTCCTTGCTCTGAATTTTAGTTTGGGTCTTGGACTGAATTTATGCCAAATCTGTATGTAAATTTCCCTTAATTTTAAACATGAAGAACACTAGTTTATAACCAAAGAACAATAATCTGTAACAGATTACATATCTATGTTTTATAATTTAAGTAGTCTATTGGAATCAGTATGAAAAATCCACTTCTTTTCTATTCTTTCTATTTAATAAACGTAGGTGTGGAAGGAAAATGCTGTCCCCCTTGCTTTTTTTAGTTTTCTAAACTTTTGTTGAAACCATATATAGATTTGCTAAGGCCCTTAGGATGAAAACTAGGGGGCCTGCTCTCCTTTCCATGAAACCCTCTGGGACATTATGTATTGGTCCTGCCTTTACTTTGGGAATGTGTTGATAACTACCAGTCAAGTGCTACTACTACTTATCTTTCAGGAGGCTTTATCTGATGTCTACCCCCTAATCATAATGGGGAAACAATAAAGTTCTCATACCCAATGCTGCTTCTTAAGGAGATTAAAAATTCAAAATAAAAAAATTTCAATGTATCTGCTTCTGACTATTTAACATCAAACCTTTTTATAAAAACTTCCTGAATTACTCCATCCCTTTGGACTTTAATTATAAAAAAATAAATATTCAGTGAAGAGGAAGATAAATCACAGAGTTTGGCAGATCACAGTATATAGCAGCTCAGAAATTACAATGGAGACAAGAGAAGAGCAGGAGGTAGAGAGCTAATCTGATGAAGAGATGAAGAGCTAGTCTACCTGGAATATTACAGATCACAAGAAGAGAGTTCAGAACATTACAAGAAGATTCTAGGGAAAAATACATCTTCTTACATCATATTACCTGTAATATGGATGAAATTGTAATTATATATTCTTAATGTATATAGAGAATTTAAATATAAAGAGATTTTGCATAATGTTGAAAACAGAAATATGTTTTTAGCAAAATCCTGGTTTTATGTTACTCTTTCTGAAGCAAATGACCTTTTCCTTTAGGGTTCTCAGACTTCTCCAGCTTCTTGGAGGTTCCATACTTTCCTCAGAGGATGTAATATTGAAAGCCGCTGTTTCTTACTCAATCTCTTTCCAGATTTTTTTTTGTTTTAAAATATCAAGCATTTCTTTTCTCTCCAGCAGAGGGTGAGGCTGGATAATCTGAGCCTGAATGTGATAAAGAATTGAATTTCGTGGGACTATGGTTGAGCACTCAATCTTACATTGAAGAACATGTTTATCATGCTGATTCTTATTTCCCTTAGGAGATGCCACTTATATCAACCTACTTTCATAATCTCTTCAATTCTCCATTTCTTTATAGTGCCTTTATGAGGATTTTAGATTTTTAACCCTTTATGTTTGTTGGAACAATTTAGATGAAGGTTAGAAAGCTAAATGGCTTTCTAGTACAAAGGGGACAGCATTTGGCAATTGTACATCTTTCTTCCTTTTAAGCAATATAAAAGCAGCTCTCTGCAAGTGACTAATGTAATTGGTAAAACTGCAGAATGGCCTCCAATAATAAGAAAAAGGAAAAAAAAGGAAATACTGCACATTTTTCGTCAATAAAAGGGATGAAAATTGAGTTAATGCAGACAATAGTATTTGCTGCTCACATGTAGATATTTGGATAATTTTCTGTAATTAACTAAAAAGTTATTTAAAACCATCTTGTTTGATTTTAAAAAATATCTGAAATTGTACTTAAATCTTATTGAATACAAGGTGTAGGCTACACATCCATAGCTTTATGAATAAAAGTAACTTTTATTATTATTTCATTTTCTAAAGTTTCAAAAGTTTCCTATTAGTTTCTCCATATTTGAGTTTCATATTAGCATTTTGCCAGGACAACATGCCAAATTGTTGTTGTTTTTTTCAAGTAAAATATTTGGGGTTTTAAATGTAGAATCCCTTATTTAAATGTATTAAGCTCTTAACATAAAGCAAATTTAGGTTATTTTAGTTTATTATTGTAGATCTATTTATATTTCTGAACACAATTTATCTGGTGTTATATTTTGATACGTTTTGGATTATTTTCATTTTACAGGGAAATTGCTTTTACCAGGCAACTTCATGAACAGGCCTCTGATCTAAGTTATTATTACATGGGGTTTTATATTTATTCATGTCCTAAAATGAGATATAAGGTAAGATTTACAATTTTAATCATTTAAATTCAGCCTGATATTAGGACAGATTTATGTATTTTCAATCTTTCCTGCTTTGCTTGATTAAAAAAAAAGAACTACTGTCTGCTTAGTTGTCTATAAATTGGCTAGTGCTGGGTAAATGGAGAATATAGACTTTATGCTTCCCAAATAGTTGTCCCATGCCACCTATCAAACTTTTTTTTTACACAAGGGAACTTTCAAAACAGATTGTAATAATGGATAAGGATATCCTATTCAAATGAAAAAGAAAAAAATAATAATGAACACCAGACATATTTAAACCTTCAGCATACTTAAAATAATTATTTGGATTCTGGATTTGATAGGTCTTCAGCCTAATCTAACAGGGACATATTTTAATAAGTAATATTTGAATGTTGAATAAAGTAAGTATGGCAATTACATTATTTTATTAGTGTAGACTCTTATTTTCTTTCTCGATACTAGTGTTAATGTCCTTTGAGAGCTCTTTGGTTTGGCTAAAAAAACCCACATCCTTTTACTGTTAACTGAGCTTTTCTTCAGTTGCTAAATTGCGCTGCTGTTTAAAAATGGGTTAGCAGCTGCTGACCAAGACAGAATATTGCCCTGACAAACTGGATTTTAGTGGCTCTCTATTCTTTCCATCTACAAATATATTTTTCTGTAATTGTAAAGATCTGATGATCCAGTTTTTGGCAAATATTGTTAGTTGGAATACAGTTCTTCCTAGATTTGATTTCTACTGAAATTATTAAAACCAATAAAATGTTAGTAAGGTATTGAAACATGGAGCTTATTAGTTAAGTACAAGGGATTTCTGTTGGATTCCCTGCTCTGCAGGAAGATGCTTTTTTAAATAGATTAAACTATTTATCTAACTAGCTCCACATTGCCTACTTGTTCTTTAATTCACATATTCATAAATATTCTTCCCCAAGTTTTTAAAAAACATATTTATGACATAATATGTAAGTTTTCAATCTAATTCAGGAATATGAATATTTCTTTGGTGTCTTTTTCTCCTTTAAGTTTTGTTTTGTTAATATAATTCAATAGACCAAAAGTATTTTATAAAATGTAAATACTTTCTTGACTTTTTGAAGAACAAATTTGGGAATATAAGTATCTTGTATTAATAGAAATAATCCATAGTCCTGTAATAAGAGAAGTGCGCAAAAAACAGGCCCAAGTAACTTACACTTTTGTTTATTTAGTTAGAACAGTTATAAAGTATCTTTTGAAAATTAAAAACCAGTGTAGCATAACACCTACCAGACCAGATTTTTATGATCAAGCAATTTTCCAAGATTTATCGGCATTTTTACGTATTCATGCAAACACATTTCAATTTCATTCCCAGTATTGCTTTAGTTTAACCAACTGTTTATCTTTTCAAAACTTTTACATTAGTTTTGTATTTTTAGAACAAATTATAGCTTACTTTAAATATAATAGAATTAAAATTTCTGAAAATATATTTCAGCATACTTAAAAAATTATATTACTTCAATAGAATGTTTTGAGATACTTAATTTAGAATTGCAGAAAAACAATAGAAAATGTGATTAGTTTAACAGATAAACCCAGATTATTGTCATGAGATAGCTTGATATCAGATGCAGAGAATCTCTTCCAAAAGGTTAATGAAGAAATAAAAGGCGAATTCAGCTGTGATTAATTATTATATTACTTTGGATGGCTGTTGTCATAAGCAGAACATTATTTTTGATAGAGTTTGAGAACCAAGTTTGGTGATTTGAGCTTTGGGAGAGTCAGCAGCTTGAAAGGTTGTACAAAGGAATTTTAGCAGTTTTAATCTCTTGAGCCCTGGCTCCTTCATAGTTTCATGAGTGTGGAATTTAGTTAACCTTTTCGGTAAATTAGCTTTGCTGCCTAAGCAGAAATGGAAAACCACAGCAGAACAGAATCCCTACAGGATGTTGTTTGCCTATGATCTCCTGCTCAAACCTACAATTGTGACGCCTGCCATTGTAGCACTGAAAAGATTGCAAATCTTTTGCAAGCCTAATACAATACAGCTTTCACTTTATATCTTCCTGAAGGATTATTTGGTCAGCATAATTGCATTTTATATTTTAGCTGATTTAAGATGAAAATAAACTGTTTGGCTCATGCACTGATATGTACTAGCAATGCCAGAGTCCTGCAGCAGCAATGACCTATTATTGGTGGGTGAGAACATTCAAATATACAACTATTTTACCACATAACTTTAGATACAATTGCATATTTGAACCAGGAAAATAATCCTTGAAATTAGCCCTTTTGTTACCTGTATTTATTTATCATAATCTTTACAATTAATTATACACTTCTGCAAATCATGGATAAGCTTCTAAAGCCTGAATGAGAAAATTTTGACTCTTCAATCAGATCCTGAAGGTCCTTTTTGCTTATTTGAGACAAACATATGCCCTCCTCAAAGGATTCCTTCTTTTTTGAGAAAAGATAGAAGTTGCATGTAGAAGAATGTAAAGTGCATGGAGTTGCCTGCTAGAATGCATGTGAGATGTAGCATTGCCACGTGGCAGCGCAATTGCCTCTTGTGCTTCTGATCTCAGCTTATTGTTATTTTGAGTGTTGCAGTCTAACAGTATGAGTTAATAGTGGTGTTAGGTTTAATTCCATGTGAGTAACACCATATATTTTTATTTTATTTATTTATTTTTGTCAATTGCTTACAAGATAGTAGGTATAAGTAAAAACATAGTTATGAATACATGGATACATATAAGAAAAAATAAATAAACAATAGGATAGGGATGGTAGGCACATTGGTGCGCTTATGCACGCTCCCTACAGACCTCTTAGGAAAGGGGTGAGGACAATAGTAGACAGTCTAAGGTTAAAGTTTTTGGGGTTTGGGGAAGAAACCACAGAGTCAGGTAGAGTATTCCAGACATTGACCACTCTGTTGCTGAAGTCGTTTTTCCTGCAATCAAGTTTGGTGTGGTTTACCTTGAGTTTGTATCTATTGTGTACTCTTGTATTGTTATTCATTGACAGGTAGGACATTGCAATATATAATTTTATGTACTATACTTAGATTGAAGGTGGCATAGTTCTAGGTTGTCTAGGTCTAAAATTTCAAGTCATAAGGTGGCATAAGGTATTCTGCTATGAGTAGAGGAGTGGAGAACTCTTCTTGTGAAATATTTCTGGACTTTCTCAATTGTATTAATATCAGATGTGTAATGTGAGTTCCAGACTGATAAGCTGTATTCAAGTATTGGTCTAGCAAATGTTTTGTATGCTCTAGTTAGTAGAGTAATATTACCAGAGAAAAAGCTATGCAGAATTAGGTTAACAACTCTTAATGCCTTTTTGGCTATGTATTTACAGTGGGCTCTAGTACTTAGATCATTTGAGATGACTACTCCAAGGTCCTTGACAAAGTTTGGGTCATCAACAAGGTTTTGACTATTCAGCTTGTATTTTATTTTCTGATTTTTTTTTTGCCAATATGTAAGACAGAGCATTTATTTGTTGAGATTTGAAGTTGCCACTTGTTTGACCATTCTGTTGCCATTTGTTTGACCATTTGTTTGACCATTCATAGTTGAGGTCTTTTTGAAGGGTAGTAGTATTGTTGATGGTGTTGAATAGCTTTACATTATCAGCAAAAAGAATGTAGTTGCTCTTAATATGATCACAGAGGTCATTTATGTAGAGTATGAAGAGAGTTGGTCCTAGCGCTGCCTTGGGGGACATCACTGTTTACAGGTACAGAATTTGATAGGACATTCCCAATTTTGACCATTTGTTGTCTGTTTGACAGGAATGCTTCTATCCAGTTAATGCAGGTGTCCAGAGATACTGTGAGATTTTAGTTTTAGGAGCAGTTTGTCGTGTACCACTGAATCAAAGGCTTTACAGAAGTCTATGTAGATTGCGTCTATTGCTTTGCCCTGATCAAGTGTGTAGTCCATATGTTTTTGCAATGTAAGAGTTGCAGATTACATGATAGCTTTTTCCTGAAACCAAATTGTTTATTAGAGAGTAGGTTGTTTGTTTCTAAGTGAAGGATGATGGATTGGTTAATAATTGATTCCATGATTTTACAGTGGACGCAGCATAAAGAGATTGGTCTGTAATTTTCAACTAGGCTGGGGTCTTCCTTTTTGAAGATGGGGATGACTATGGCTTGTGACCATAGTTTTGGCAAGGAGCTGGTCCTGAAAGATTTTTCAAAGATTATGCTTAGAGGTTCGGGTATGGCAGTGGATAGCTTTTTTAAGAAGTAGGCACATATTCTATCCAGTCCAATATGGTTTTAGATTGTGTAGTGCTTTTTCAACATTGTTTTCTATAAAATCGATATGTATTAGATCATTGTAGTTGGCTGTTGTTCGACTAGGAAATACTGGGCATGATCCATTGCTGTTTACAAATACTGAGCCAAAGAATGTGTTAAAGAGGTTGGCTTTAATAGTGTCATCGTTGCAGTCTTTACCATTAGGTCCTTTCAGGGGTGGGATGGACCTTGAGTCTTTTAGTTTGTTGTTTACAAAATTGTAGAAAGCGCGGGTGGCATTGGTGCATAGAGGGTTTTCTTCTTGTTTAATGTGATAATTGGTGCATTCAGTCTTTATCTGGTGGCATAAATTTTTGTATAGGCTTTTGAAATTGGCAACGTGGCCAGATTTATTTCTCCGCCAAAGTGATTTCTTTTTGGATTGAAGCTTCCTTATTGTTATGGCTAATTTGTTTTTTTTTTCTGCTTTGGTACATATAGTTTGATGACTCTTTTGACTTCAAGTAAAAACATGTTGTAATGGTCTTCTACAGTATTGCATCCAGTGAATAGAAATTGCCAATCAAGGGATGAGATATCGTTATTTATAAGATCATAGTTGCCTTTTTTGAAGTTATAATTGGGGATTCCGTCGTTGTGATGATTTTTGTGTGGACATATGTTGAGACAAAAGTCAATCATGTTGTGGTCACTGTTGGAAAAGGGTTCTTTAATTTAT